GACTTTTTTGTGAAATATGATGACTATTAATTATGTTATATGATATTTTACAAGCCTTTGTTATAACGCAAACAGTTTCGTTTTGGAAAATACTTTTTTCTTACTGTACATATACAGGGTGTCCGCAAAGTTGGGGTTTTCCTTTACACGACGTGTAGATCTTGAAAACATAAGCAATTTTTCTTAGTACCATATACACCAATGTCTTAAGGGAACCGAGATAAAGGGCTCTGCAACATCAAAAATATCTGAATACCGTCCTGTAGCCGCGACTCGCGACATCCCCGACTGGTACTAGGACCCAGCTCAACCCGACGACAGAACTGGGTCGGGGTCAGTGTGTCAGGTCAGTATGCAACCTTCAACCGACGGTTACGGTCACGCGTGTAGAGGTAAACGAACCCGTATAATCGATTGCGTTTCAAAAAACAACAAGCACTAGAGACGTGGCTAGAGAAGTGCACGTATCAAAAACTAAAGTGTGGCAAACGCTGCGTGAAGAGGGGCTGTATCCGTTTCACGTCCAACGTGTACACGACCTTCAACCTGACAATTTTCCAGCAAGAATGCGGTTTTGTGAGTGGTTGTTGCATCAACATGGCAATAATCCGGACTTTTTGAAGTGGATATTGGTGACAGACGAATCTACGTTCACGCGTAATGGGGTGAATAACTTTCGCAACACTCATGTTTGGTGAACGGTATGCTCATTGGACCATTTATTCTCCCAAATCGATTGGACGGGATGCAATACCTAGACTTTTTACGCAACATTTTGCCTTCCTTGTTAGAAGATGTGCCATTAAGTGTAAGACAATCAATGTGGTTTCTGCACGATGGTCATATTTGTTACCTCTGTTCGTGGTCTGCACCACCGCCGGCGTCTGCTCGGTAGCGCATCAGCTGATTTCATTTTCTGTTGGAGCGGTATGATTTCGGGCAGAGACGTACTTAGCCCTTCTCGTCAACTGGAGAGTGAGTACTTTTTCCTTTATTTTTTTTACTTGGTCGCCCTCGTTTCACTATACATTACCTTTGTTATTTCAAGGGTAGTTGTTTCTGAAAAGGAAAACCCCAACTTTGCGGACACCCTGTATATGCTATGGAATTACAGAGGTTAATTGGAATCTGATTTTGAATTCCCTAATTGTAAGGAGATGTAAAACGATCCATATTTAACCATTTTTTTTACAATAACTCTTTTGATAATATTTTGATTGACATTTCTTGATCCTACTGGGTCTGCAGCCAAAAACTACACATCTATCGAATGAGACTTTTTTGTAGTAAGCTCCGTTTGAAAAAATGAAGAAAAGCAGTTTTTGGAGACTACTAACTACCATTTCTACTAGCAGCGCAAGAAATAAACTGCACTGCATATTTATAGTCGCTTCCGTCATTTAATTTTGGCAAAAATGTGATTCGTTTGTCACATCGCATAGACCTTTGTCCTTTAGATGATTCCAAGTCTTTTCGAACACAGTTAATCCTCAAAAACTTGAACATTTAAGATGTATGAGTCCAGTGAAGCAACAAAGACTATAAACAAATAAAAAAAATACTTATCTATCCAACCGCTAAAGATATGCGCATAATTAAGGATGTCGCAGTTGCAAAACTTTTTTATAACAATACAATTACACAGACGGTTCTCGCCTTGCTTTGACTGAACCTTATTGTTTCTAATTATAATTAAAAAATAACTAAACTTGGCTTGTGTTCGCAGAATGTTGTCTTTCAGTCTCGTGTGTGAACTGGTTACCTTGGTTGTCGCCGAAAGATTCCACCAAGGTCGCAACGATACATAATTCACACATGTTAAAAACAAACAACGTATTGGAAGATAACTAGACGGAACGATGGTGATCGTTGGTTTCTATAATGACCTGTTTCGCGATGATTGCTGTTTTTTTGTCAATGTGTAAAATAATAATTGGGAAGGCTACCGAAACAGGCACATCGTCCCTTAAATTTTCGATCAACAGTCCACCGCACATAGCTCAAGAAAAGAGAAAAAAATTAGTAGCATAAGAAAATTATCGAGAATTGTTCAGGAGTAATCTAAGTATGATATTTTTTAACGGAACCGGTAAGAGATACAAAGTAGTTAACTAACAAGATTCCGCTTAGAAAGTTTCGAAATTCATAGTAGGTACTTCGTAGACACAGAAAAAATCTAAATTTTCCCAAAATAGTTTTAGCTTTTTGCTGACTTCATTTGTCGTGGGATTTCAACGTAAATTGCACATTAACATTGCCACTTTTTCTCCTCTATAACATGGTATAATTATAACTTACTTTGAAATCGCACTACAAGTAAAGTGAGGAAAAAATTGAAACCATTTTGGGAAAATCCGGTTTATCTCTCTCCGGAAGTACTTCGAATTTCCAAACTTTCATTTTGTTGATTACCTAAATACGCAACTTTGACCCTATTTAAGCGACCTCGTATCTCTTACAGTTTCCGAGATCCCAATGGTGAGGGTCGAATTTGAAACGACTGGCATATGTGTAGGACAAATCGTGACACTAAATTTTGAACCAGTTAACCCTAACCAACTGAGCTGGAATTTTGTATCCACGTTTGGTATGAAATAAATGCAGCCATTTTGAGTCCATATGTCCGATGCTGCAAAATAACAATTTATCATTGCCATAGTCATCTCTCTGATATGGGTATTGAATGAAAGGTCTTGATCAGAGGAACACAATAAGCTAAATGACGTCATTCGATATCCAATATAGTAAGTAGTCTACGCAGAATGGTGATTTATAATTTCTATAGTTACCCATATATTATATGAGTATCGACATAAACAATATATCCCAGCCTGTTCAGTATGTGATACCAAAGAAGTATGTCAAACAAGGATTCAAATTATAATTATTGAAACTTGTAAGACATTAGATTATCTATTAAAATCATGAGATGAGAAAAAGTGAACCACTGCTGGAGGTATAGAAAAGAAAATTGGATATCATTCGTAAAACAAAACAAAGGAACAAATAATTAATTGCATCACAAAATAAAAATGTTATTTTAATAATTTTGCAACAAATGCTGCAGAACATTCTCCGTAGTGTTCACGTACACTCCCGGCACATTGAATCATTGTTTAATTAAGACGCGTCCAATGTTTCATGGTTTTACCACTATGAGTCGCTGTATTGTTTGAACTATTAATTATGTAGTCATCACTTAATAAAAATTAATCATTATTTTATTCTCACTAGAATGCTTTAATTTTATTTGCTCGTTCAATCCTATTTAAAGTGAATCATGTAAAATTGACTCAAATTTCATGTTTTCTACCTTTAACAACATAAGGTACGTTGTATAATGAATATGTATACATCTAAAATGTTCTTTGTAATATTTTCTACAAAACTCCTTTTCCTGAGGCTTTTGAAAAAGTGAGAAGGTCCATTAAAAACAGCGAGCGTTGGCGATGGCGCTAGGATCTTCAAGATCTTCGAGACCAAATTAGACATTTTCGGTTTTTCGCCGATATTTCCAAAACCAATTAAGCGAATACTGTCGAATACCCTCCCCATTTAACCTTTGCTGTCGGTATAACAGAAGCCGAGATCCCGGTATAGTGAAGCAAATCGGGGACACACTGTATGCTTACATTGCATTGTTTGTCGCCAAAATTGCGGCTTATTTGTCTACCATTGCCTACCAAGGTGACAGCGTTGTATCAACATAATAAAAACTACTTGGTGAAAACAACTACCTTTATTAGGCTTGTGCTATTTGCAAATTATGAAAGAAAACACTCGCAACTCTAAAAAATAACACTAAAAATAGGAATCTTATGACAGAACTGTATACAGAGTATGAGAATTAAGCGACTAAAGTGCTTGACCAGCTCCTCTTATCTAGTCTGAATTCGTTGATTTTTGGCACAACTCTAGTGCCTATTTTATTTGGGTATCTTCAGGTGGAAGTCATTTATCAATATCCTCCACCGCTATGCCAACATGCTTTGCTACCTCTCATCCTAACTTCGTACATCCTGACCTGGCCGGTACGACCGCTCCTGCTTTTTTCTAAGGTGTGTCAATATTGTGAAACAATCGGCCTGAGGAGGCTTTTTCCAGTTCTGATGACTTTAGACAGTTCAAAAATCGGATTAAAAAGACCCCTTACAGCATTCACGGTGCCTCGCTATTTAGGCTTCTTTCTACGCAGTTGCATAAGTATAAAAAAATACTTTTAAGCATGTAAATATGCACCGTATATATGATGTCCTCTGCTGTGACACTGTACTGGATTAAATAACCTCATTTTGATGCATAAATAGATGATGATAACAATTGCATTTGAAAATTAAATGAAAACTGTGATCGTCAGGTGACATCATAAAACAGGTGATTATAGTAGCCAGCGTTCCGCATGGTTGTCCTTAAACACGTTCGTATTTATGTTATATATCCTTGATACCTCGTTAGGAATCATTTTTTTTTGCAAACTGAAAAGTTCAGTTCCTACAAAACCTACGTCTTTTTGATGTAATTGTAGTACATGGAAAATTGTACTAGAAGTTGTTTCGAGAGCACGAGAGGTATGTGTCAATCTACATGACGAAGATAGTTTTCTTTTTTGTTACTTAAATATATGCTTACTAATTTCCTTCAACATTATTTTCTCACCATTTCTTCTGAAGATAGTCAACCATATACTGAGTCTCGACGTCCAAAAAAAAAAGGAAATCTTCAGGCACTGATTAACGAATTCAATATCCTAGCGCAACCTATGAAATAGTATCAGAACCAGACACAAATGACACTGTTCAAAGCAGATTTCTGAATTCATGTTTGTGTTCTGCTACTGCCTCATAAATGACGCTAGTATCTTTCATTTCCTTAAGCGTCTCAATACAATATACGAGTATGGCTAGTTATCTTCAGGTGGAATATAGTAATCAGTACCTTCGTTCTTTGTGGTGCTCGAATTATATAATAATGATGGTAACAAACTGTATAATCCGTTAAAGATTGGACCCCACTGGTCGCGGCAAAGGTGACTGTGAGCTTCTGGACTGTCCTCTAAGCCAACTGGACCTTCGTCGTGACATTCTGCCAGATCCAAACTACGATTATTATGAACGAGATCGAAACGCAGTAGAATGTGAGAGACGTCGGCCTCAAAACAGATACGGAGGGAGTGGATATAATGGTAAGAATATGGGAATAAACTAAAAGAATTGCAAAATCATTAGTAAATCACGCTGTTCTAAAAAATGTATTGACGAATATAATCACGGAAATGTATTTTTAAGGGTCCATATAGAGATACCAAAAAATGTGCTGGGTAACTTCCTTATTAAACCTCAAATTTGGAAAAATCACTTTTTGAATGTATTCAAAAAACTATGGAAAATTGGTCTAAGTGGTCTACAGAACAGTTAGAGGAGATGAAAATGCCTTGAAAATGATACGTCATATGTCCGGCTGCATCGCTGGTCATTTCGCAAAAGATGACCGTTAACTTCAAAAAGTTTAGTGGCAATTATAAATTTTCAGAAAACGTGGATCAATCGTGATGATTTTTTTTCTGCTCTTTAATCACTACAAAGGGTTCGAGTTTTAGCTATTATTCTAAATTTTCTGTTGAGCATTTTTTGGTAATTGGCAACTTGTGTGAATAAAATATTAATCGCCACAGCAAAATGAACATATCGGGACTCATTTTGGAGGTTTTTTCTTGCTCCAAAACTTTCCTCAAGAGCAGGTTTTCACGGTGTTTAAATATACCGGGTGTTTAAAATTTGACTTTCACGATGAAGTCGGTTAAAGTCGAACATTTGTTGGGCATTTAAGTAACTAAGAGAATGGTAAACTTGGAAAATTTTCCCAATTGCGAGTATTTTACATAGACGAAAGAAACTGAATTTTCTCAAAATCCCTATTTTTTCCTGATTTTATGGTGTCCATCAGAAAAAAATTAAGTTGATGATTGAGAACAAGAGATGAAACGTCACATTGAAATTCTGATTATGCCATGTTATAAAAGGAAAAAAGTGGATGGATGTTAAAGTACTTTTTATTTTGGGAAAATTCGGTTTCTTTCGTCTATCTCCGGAATTGCGAAACTTTCTAATTGCCATTTTCTTCTGTTTCCGAGATCCCAATAGCGAAATTCGAATTTGAAACACCTTGTATAGGAAACAGTTATTTCTCCCACTTTGATGGTTAATAAAGTTACAGCAACATTTGTTGTAGCTCCAAATAAAGAACCTCAAAATCATTTTACCCCAAGAATATACTACAATTGTAAAATCCGTCTTGACATTTTTTTTTCTGAAATTCTAGGTATTTCTAGATGCTCTATAGGATGGGGTTAGATGACAAACAGAAATTACAGAAATGTTTATTCTTTGTTAAAAATAAATTGAAAAGGTTCTATCACATTTTGTATATAGAAACCACCTATATTTTGACTTTCGGCGTTCAAACTACGCTACTATAGTTTTCGACCAGCCACTATCTTATATATCTTCTTTAACAATACTTAAATTATTTTATTTCCCGTGCATAGTCGGGAAAAATATTGTGATCGCGAAAATTTTTCAGTGTCACCGATGATTAGTCGCGTATGCGGTTGCCAATGTCTTTTGCTTTTCGCTAGATTCGCCAGTTCACTTCACTTTTTTCAACTTAAATATAGGCCTATTACAGGCTGTGATAATAGAAACTATACGTATATAAACGTCCAAATACACCACAGGCTAGTTCCCATAACTTCTTGGAGAATTCCTTAATCAATGCTGATATACGGTTTCTACTTGACTACTACTTATTTTCTATTCTAGGTTATGGTGGGTATGGTGTAAGATCAAGCAGTAGCTATGGTGGCAGCTATGGCAGCAGCTGGAACTACAATAGCTACAGTGGCGGTGACTATCACAGAAACTATGCGGGAAACAGAGGAGGGGGAAGCTACAATGCTGACCGACGGTACGATTACGATGGTAAGTCACATAACTACTTTTTTAATAATATCTCAAAATTGGACAAAATTAATGGCCTGTACATGACATCTTGGAACAACTGAAACTAATCCTGTGGTTTTTTATCTTATTTCTCAAATTTCAAATTGTCTACTTTACAATGAGCACAAATTATTTCAAAATTTCTCTCTGGTATGTGAGAGATCCCAAGGCTGCCAGACGTAACTTGATTTCTGAAAGATATAACGTGGTGTATTGAATAACGTTTAAATATACTTTCAGCGCCTGCATACCTGCTAGTTTGGGTGAAGGGTCGATTTGCTGGTGAGAAAGGTTGACTAATAACAATGAGACTATCTCAAATTTAGACTAATTTTTGGTATATACTTTGTAAAAGATTATTACAAAGTAATACTCTGACAGACACGTCCCGCCAACAAAAATTTCTACCAGACGCTTTACACAACGCTATAAATTGTACTCCTCTATTTTGTATGAACGTTTAGTAAAGAATGTTTGTTATAGAGTGTAATATAAACTGTGTCATGTAATGTATTTCCTTTCTGTATACAAAAAACCTAGCATGAAAATCTTTATATTAGACCCTATAATTCTTATATGAAACATTTTTTTTAATTCGATATACAAATAAGTTAGAGAAGGGTCAATCTATAGCACACATCTTGCTTAAAGCATCTGGCAGAAGTTGTGACTGGTAGGAGTGGCAGGGAGTATCTGGCAACGCTGAATATTACTTTATAATGATATTTCACAAAATACATATAAAAATCATCCATCAGAATTTGATTTAGTCTTATTTTGACTTAACCGTTCTCATCTGACACCTGTTTATCGGCCCTTTACCAATTTAGCAGGTACAAGACATTGAAAGTACATATAAACGCTACTATCTACTACCCGCGACTTCATTGCATAGTAACTTAACAGTCAACTTGCATGTTTGTGAAATATGGCTATTTTATTAATGGAGCCAAGCTACGGGAATAGGACCACGGTTCAGAAAGCTAACAAATTAATAATTTTACTAATTTTTAGAAAAGCCATCTCTCTGCCAAATTATCGGTTATACAATCAGTTCTTAGTTGAAGTCTACTGTAAACAGGTTCTTACCGTTGCCAATTTTTAGATATCAGAAAACTCCAAGCAATTTTAAACAAACTTAAAACTGCCCTTTAATCTTTTAGTCTGGCCATGCCACAAAATCCGTTGCTAGCTGAAATGTCCTATCCAGAAACTGTACCCTTGCCAAAATTCATGTTTGTAGGTCAGATAGTTGCCGGGATTTCGTGATTCGTGAACTGTTTCACAAAAAGAATGCATTCCATCAAAGTACAGAGAACATGAAACCCATATCTATACACCAAGCTTTAAAACAAATTTCCCCATAGCATCTTTTTTGAAATAATCCACGCTTTCAAGGTCTAATTTTTACAACAAAAGGTATCCTATGTCCGTTTCCAAATTCTAATCTATATATATGCTAAAATTCATCAAAACCGCTTCGGCCTTTTTTGTGTGAAAACGGAACATACATACAAACTTTCACATTTATAATTTTAGTTGAATTTCGATGTCCCACGTTTTGTCTTTCAGAAGATAAGTAATGTCTAATAATCATGGGATCTTGGGCTGTTGCTGAATTTGAAAAAATAGAAAGACTACCTCACAAACAGGAACCGGTGACTATATCGCCAAAACTTTCTATTTAATCCCGGTAATGAGAAAGATGCGTCCTATTAGACAGATTTCTCGTTTTCTTTTTTTTGGAAGACATGTCTGTTGACAGACAATATTTTGCAGATGGTCGCCGCCCAGGAGATCGTTGGTCTACTGACGATAGACCCAGAAGACCGTATCTACCGCCTTCTGACCGACCTCCTTTCTATGGTAGCGAAAACAATAGACGAGGAGGTAAATATCTATGGCCTCAGATTGTATGGGATATACTATGCGTTAAATTGCCTAGTTAATATTCTTCTAGCTTTATTCAACACGTAGAGCTGCAATACATGACGTTAAAGTTAAATTGTTCAATGAAAAATACTAACAAAATTGAAAGTTTCCGAGAATCTATATCTAAACGTTATTTGGTAATCCCTCAACTACAGCATATCTAAACTACAAAATCTAATTATATATATATCTCTAATTTTTTGTTAATTCATAAGGGGTCATAAGGTTTTTAAAGTTGATGATGAGTCAACATCCTTGCATTTTTTTAAGTCCTATACTGTTATTTCTTATTTATCTGTGCATCTATCTTATTTTAACGTAATTCTAAATAGGTTTCTCTACACTCCTAAGCTAACTAAGTCACAGCGCAGATCCACCAAAAAAAGTAATGTCCAATTGGAGACTCCGATGCAAGAGACTATTTTTTATTTGTTTTGATTCCCTCCTGTATGTTTGATCTAATGGACATAATAGATTCTTGCACTGGAATTTTCAATTACGTCTTATCTGTACCTACTACTAGCACTCTGGATCGTTTCACAATAGCACACTGTAAGTCTGTACTTTCCTTTACCGATTAAAGTATACTTTCGAAGTAATAAGCTCTTTGATTTCTTTTTCAGACTATCCAAAATACCCTTCACAAGACACTGACAGGCCATTACACTACCTACCACCACCTAATAAACCTCAAGACAGAATTCTATTTGAACATGAGGAAAAAACACACTACTTACCTCCAAAGGTAGACACGTCTAGTGATTGGGGATCATACGGCAAGAGCAGTCAAGGTTGTTATTCATTTCCTATATCTTGAACAAAGCTATCACATTTTGAAAAGTTCCTGAGAATATATCTTCCAAAATTATTATATATATATATATATATATATATATATATATATATATATATATATCATAATGTTTTTAAAAAAGATGCACTTTCTAAGTCTTGTTTGTGAGCACAGTCTGCTAAAATTTCTGGAAACATGTATATTTGATTACTTCCGAAAGAATTTTCAGCTCATCTAATAAGATATTAGATTGAACTGATGGATTTGAAAGCCACTTTTCTGTCTGTCAAATATCTGATACTGCCATTGTCATCAAAACCAAAGATATTGAAGAAAATTAGTTTAACGGCAATTTCTATAGTGAAGGAAATGCGCAAGGAACTAATCGAAACGAACGATTTTTATAACTACTCGTAGTTCATTATTACGAAAAACTCATTCACCACAAACGAATAGTATTACAGGATCCCGATGATCCAAGCGGACTAGTTGTGAGTGAACAAGAACGAGATAGGAGACGCGACATACCACATTAGGTAACCATATGAGCAGAAGTTTGTATAACTGGTTGCCTAGATAGCTCATGGTTAAGTTCAACGATATCGAACAGAACCAAACGAAGTTGTTGAAAAAGATAACAAATGCTGAAATGAACATGTAAATTAACTACAAATTTCCATTTAAAAACATCTTTTTTGAACTTTATAGGCTTCTGGTCTATTTATTTTCTCTGACTTACCCACCCTTCGGAAAAAGCCACTCCCATGGCACAGACTCGCGTTTTTTCACCATCTCAAATAAGTTGGTTTACACTTTTGCTCTTTCACTTCCTCTTTCAGGGAGTCCTCTCGGTAAAAGCGGTTTATTAAAATATTTACCCAGTACGATAAAAAATCAAAAGAATCAACAATACGAGCTGTCCCGAAGCGTCTCTCCATACAAATACTAACCGCTCTCGATACTGCTTAGTTCTGGCAATCGGATAGCATGATGACAACGAGTTATGTGGTATCGTTGCGTAAAATAGTTCGTTTGGGAACTAGTCCCTAAAACTCGTTAGAAAGCACATCACCAGTTTTCTTGGTCCAAAGTACAAGCTTGAAAGTGAAATCAATAGTTTCATGAGAACTATCAGCTTCATCTATATTATAATGCCAGAGCTAAAGCCTAGCGCCCCTTTAATATCACGTAATTTGCCGCTTAGACAATTTGAGGATAAAAACTCGAGGCGTCCCGCCCCAAACCTACACATTTTTGAGGGATAGTATATCCTCGGAATAGCGGAATAGTTTGAAGAGAAAACATCCTGACTTCCTGCCGAAAATCCTAATCTTGAGAGTCCTCTGGCATCACTTGGTGTCTGAAATCGTTCGGCTCAGCTGGTGAAGCCTAGGGCTAGGTTCAAAAATACTACGATTGAGCTTAAATCTTTCAAGTAAGAATATATTCTTAAGGAACTAACATTACCTCAACATGAAAGATGAAAAGAATTTTGCCTAAAATCACTTCCAGCATATAATCAATACGGAGGTTACAACTACTGGTACAGTAAATATGATGATTGGAAGCCAATAGTTGGTACTCATTTAATACCATCCGGTCCAGACAATTCTTTTGACAATCATATTACACCTGCTGTACCACCCTCGAGACAGCCACACAGATACGACGTTAAACGAGATGGTAAGTAACAACGTCAATGTCAATTTCATACGGGGAGATCCAAATTTGTCTGACGGCTCGAGTTCAATGTGTACGAGAGAGAAGTGCGAGAACTGTGTATAAGCACATATGTTAGAAAGAGATAAAAGTCGGCTGGCCAGCAAAGGTCATCACCACACTACCGAGCAATGGTGACGCAGAAGGTCGTGCAATCTGCAGCGTTCCCAATATGTTCCATTTCCTTGAATTAAGATGCATATTGAAAATATGCTTTAGTTTATTCTATACGCCCAAATAATGGTTTTATTTTGAGCGTACACAATTTTGAATTATGAAATGTGTCGAATCTATTTAAAATTTATTCGCCTAGTATAACTGTCTTCTCTTGGTATAACCAAAGAGTAGTTATATCAAGATAAGACACTTCCTCAATTGTCTTTATAATCCCCCGTTCAGGCCCAACGATCTTGAGAGTCTTCTGCATTCAGTGTTGCCTAACCTACCGATTTTCCGGTGTTTTTACCGAAATGAGTCCGGAATCTTAAACAGATCCGACACAACTCACAATTCAAAAATGTGCACGCTCAAAATAAAGACATTATTTGGGCGTTGAGAATAAGTAGTACTGCCGGTCTCTTCCTATCTGAAAAGACACCCTAAAGGACAAAGAATTTTGGAAGAAAGATACTTTTTCGTAAGTTTTACTGAAAGTATATAGAACTACATTGAGGAGAAGCGACGCAAGGAGAACCGGGGAATCGTTTATTATTTGCATACATCAAACGTGACACGTCGCTTCCCATGGAACATAAAACATACCAGAAGGACCAGCGAAATGAGCAAAAATCGACCCCAAAACTTGACGCCTGACTGAGTCATCAAAGCGAGTACCAGCTGCTGCGCATGCGCAAGGTGTCTGAGGTTATAGTTCTACATCCGACCGCTTGGTCTACAGGTATCTGTTTTTTTTATAAAATTTGGGTTGTCTTTGCCAAGCGTCAATCATAAAAATCAAGTTTTATTAAAAACCAGGTACCTGCAGATTCAAGCTGCCGGATCTTAGACTATTATGAAAGTGTTCATATGTTCAATCTGTCAAAGTACAGCGTTGCCAGATGGATCGGATAGAATTTCCTTAGAACTAGCACAAAAATCTTTCATAATTGCTACCTTTCCCCCCAAAAAATCCCCAATCACCTTTAATTAATGGAAAGGGGTAGGTTTAGGGATATCTCCCAGAACACTATATCTCCAAAAAATTGTCCAAGTAAAAATCCCTTTGGGCTAATATTTGATTACGTGTAAAGAAACCCATCGGAAGAATTTCGCTTTCTTTCTCTTCGGTTCCCCTCAATGTGAAACATTTATCGGTGTGTTCTTGAATCCTAATCACAAATTATACTTGCAATCTTGGGAAACTGAGTCAGCTATCTATATACATACAGTGCTTTTTTTTAATGTCCCCCTCCCCTTTGATTTTTTGCACGGATCAATTCAAAAAATTAAAACTTCAGGTAATGAAATTTATGCGAGGATACCATATTTTAGAGTAAAATTGACAGATTAAATGTCAAAATGGCCGCAGTGCGCCATCTTGGAAAAAAATTATTTGAAAACGGGGGTCTTGTGGCACATCATTTTGAAGCTCCTGACGAGTACTTTATAACTCTAGAATATAAAGTCAATACCTTTACCTACTACAAAATGGTGGTACATTTAATAATTACCTGAATACATCGACATTTAACTTGATAATTCGAATAAATACATTGAGTTCAGTTTAGAAGATGCTGGAAATGGTTGCCTTGAACTTCTTGACACAATAACAGCCGGTCCGTAATTTCGCGTCGAACATTTTCAAAGATAGTAACATCGATATTTCTACAAATATTTGTTATTCTCAGCCGTGTATCCAATATTGAAACAGGTTCAGTTTCGTACGCCTTTTGCTTCAAATAGCCCCATAAAAAAAGTCTAAAGGTGTCAAATCTTTCATGCGAGCTGGCAATTCCACAGGACCTCGACGGCCAATCCAACGACCGGGGAAATTGTTATCTAAATAATTCCTAACTTGTCTGTAGTAGTGTGGTGGAGCACCATCTTGCTGGAATACAATGTCAGTATCGAATTCAGTAGGATTCGCTTCGACAAATTCGGTGATTAGAGGGTCAATAGTATTTTCCAGCGTATCCAAATACAGTTTGCCGGTTAAAGTTTGTTCGATGTACATTCGTCACTAAAACAAATATTTTTGATATAGGTAGGATTTGTTCTTTGATTAGGGTCATCTTCAGTTAGCTGATGTACCATTTGAATTTTGTATGGGCGATACTTATTCTTTTTCAAAAGTCTCCATACAGTAGAAGGACAAACCTCACATACATTCGCGAACGAGGAAGTAGACTGTTGGGGATTTACTATGATCTCACCAAGTATTTGAACTTGATTTTTTTTCCGGGATGGTCGGATGACCTGGGGGCTTTTTGTTGTTTACACTACCAGTAGCTGTAAATTTAGATACAAGTTCCCTTAAATATTTTCTACAGATAGGACGATTCGGGAAATGATCATTAAAAATCATTTCGGTCTCGAGAAAGTTACGCGTCGCACCATAAATAAAAACCGCTTCAATTTTTTCTTCCAATGGGCGAGAATTGACCATTTTAATAATAGTTTAGTTCAAACAGTATCTAGCACTAAAACCGAAAACTGAATAAGAATATTTTAACTGTACAATGACGTTTGTTTTCGTACTGATATTCTTGTCACTATCAACAAAAAATAACAAAACAAGTTTTTATCGCTTTTGCTTTGGATACGGCAGGGAATTACAATTATTTGTAGAGATATGCATGTTAGTGGGTTTGTGTTCAAGTAATTATTAAATGTACCACCATTTTGTAGTAGATAAAGGTATTGACTTTATATTCTAGGGTTATAAAGTACTCGTCAGGAGCTTCAAAATGATGTGCCACAAGACCCCCGTTTTCATATAATTTTTGTTTCCAAGATGGCGCCCAGCAGCCATCTTGACATCTTCATCTGTCAATTTTACTCTAAAATATGGTATCCACGCATCAATTTCATTACCTCAAGTTTTAATTTTTTTGATTGATCCGTTCAAAAAATCAAAGGAGAGGGGGACATTAAATAAAACCACTGTATACAGGGAGCTACTCAATGATATTCCGTAATTTCAAGAGCGCATTCCTAAAGAAAATCCAATTGTTAGAGTTCATATCAACATGTGTCCTAAAAAATCTAATATGCAAGTCACTAGGTGACAAAATTTAAAAGATCTACTCTTTGACAGCAATAAAATAATAACAAACGGAAAGAAAAAAGTACCTTTCTAACAACAGAGCAACAGATCCTAGCAACAATCAAAGTTGACTTGATTTGCTTTTAACAATCTTACAACATGTAGAGACGTCGTCTCTATTTTTTTTCTATAGCAAACGAAGTAAGATATGAAAAGAAAGCCGGAGACAAAAAGGTTGTATTATTAGCTGCTTAAACCGAAAAAAATACATGTACATACAGGGTGACTTTGAAGTTGAGTCATTAATTTTCAGATAATGATTGTAGAAGGAAGATAAACCAAAATATGTGTGTAAAAATAAAAAAAAAATTAAAAAAAAATTTTACCTTGTTTTACAAAGTATCCTCCCGACAAGTATTTCAGTGCGGACCTGTATTTGATCGTGAGGTCCCCTGTGAGGTCTTAAGTCACCTGATTCACGAGCCCGTTGTACTACATTAACAAAGGCACGAGGGGTTGGTTGCACTCGATTGGGAAACCGATCCGCATAAACATGTGCCATTTTTTATTTCACACACTATTCACACGCGACTGAAACTGACTGTATGTATAACTGAACTGAATTGTAATCGTAAAAACATCGTTCCAAATTCTTTCGCTTTTTTGTTTCCGATGCGATGAACCGTTGTTGCCAAACACGAACACATGATATTCATCCAAAGGGCTATAACTTTGTTACTTTAATTTTACCAGAAAAATGGTAAAGGAAAAAAACATTTCTTTTGATCAGATCTACACACTGTTAAAATAAATGACTCAACTTCGAAGTCACCCTGTATATAGGGTATTTATTCAAAGCCAGTGGCGTAACTAAGCGTCTTATTGCAATGGATAACTCGATAGTATCGGCGCAAGGATCTTTTGAATAGTAATAAAAAACTAATTTTTTGGCGCCCAGCATCTAAGAAACCAGACTTTTTAGGACTCATGACTATGTAAACTTTTCTACTCAAATATGATTCAAACACGCGCCCTTGCAATTACGCCCTATCGTTACCACCCTGTATATCAACTTCCTCAGAAAAAAAACACATTAACTACGCCATGATACTCAAGTCCGTCTCGTATTCACGTTTCCTATATCTTTCTGGATTTTTATATTTGAACAAAATTTACAGAATGTTCCCTTAGAATGGCATCAGGCTTCAAACTACACAAAACTGTTGTGGGGAGATTATTTTCAGTACAAAATATTTATGACTGTGAGTTGCTATGTTTCAAAGAAAAGGGATTTTTGTGTTCTTCCTATGCCTACAGGTGAGTCAATTTAGTAACATGTTCATGAATTGTTCATAAAAATATAAGATTTATGAATGAAATTCATAGTTAATGTGGACATACGAGTGAGTATGGATAGATCCAGGTTTATATCATATTTGAATCTATTTTAGGTACACTTTACCGGCAGATAACTGCTACTTGAGTTCAAAGAACCATAAGGAACTCAACTATTACACAGACGTAGAACCTGACAGAGACTTTGATCTCTATACAATGAACAATAGGGATAAGTGCGCCGAAAGCATTGGGGTCAGAGGTGGAGATGATAGTGGTAAGTAAATATCTAATCATGCAGATCGACTCGGTTCTTTCAACATAAAAATCGTAAGAAATGTTCGAGGTTGAAATAATTTTCAAGGTCACTTTTGAACGAAAAATGTTCCTCCTTAATCATTTTCGAGGCCAAGAGTATAGGCTCCTATTTAAAAAATTGTGTTGACCTTGATTTGACCTTCAAGGTTAAGGTCAAAGACTTAGTATTTTACTCTTATCATATCCCTTGAATATTCCTAAGAATCTAGTCGTGGATTGTAAAAAAAGTTAAGCATCTAAAGGAATGAACAGAAATTGATAAGAAAATTTTTCCAGAATGTTTTTTGAGAGTGAGAAGTGGAAAACGTTTGCACGAAAGTGTCGTAAAAGATTCCTTGACAACAAAATCTGCTGTGGAATGTCAGATAACATGCTTAAAAGCGACCAAATTCACTTGCAGAGCGTTTAGCTTTAGGTAAGTCAAGCAATGTCAGGGTAGAAGCTAGAAAAATCGATGAATAAGAATAACGCATCTTCTTTAATTTTACCAGTTTTGTCGTACATTTTTAGTATTTTCTCCCATGAGAGCCATGAAGAAAATCGAAACACAAAAACAACGCATCTTCAACAATTTTACCAATTTACCCAAACAGATTAGTAGGTACCTATGCGGGTTCAACACTTTTCACAAATTTAATGTCGATAACATATTTTCGCTAAGACAAGAAAATCCATCAAAACGTAGAATTTGAGGCTTTCCTATCAATATTATGGGTGTAGTATATTCACCATCATTTTAAATATAATGTTTCTTGTCTGATCAATCATCGATATCTCTAAAATAAATATGTACGCTATTTTATATTACTAATGCATAATCGGATCAAGATCATTATTTTCAGAACCTTAATGTAGGATTACTTTTCGACGCATTCATTATAGGGACTACCCCATATAATGGAGAATAAGCACCAGAAATGCTCGAATCACGTTTAAAAGAAAAGATCGGTAAACCACAGAGATATCGATGCTGGGCTAGACAAGAAACCGTCAATCAAAATTATGGTATATATTTGGAAAAAATGTGCAAAGTAGGATCAATATACCAGTATATCTAATAAAGTTGTGCCACTTGGCAACCACACATTTTTCTGGTAAAAAATTTTCTACAAAAGTTTCAGCAGACCGCGAAGTTACACCTCTCCAAATGACCTCTGATGTCATTATCCAGACCAATTAATATAAATAAATTCATTTTTTCATAATATGAAGCTTTTCCAGGAACCTTGTTTCAAAAAAAAAATGTCTGATTGCCAAGTTTCGAAAGTGCACTTTTCACACGTTACAACTTTGTCTTCTTTGTATAATCTTGTGATGATCACGAATATGCAGTCAAAAAAGTGGGTGGTATTTGAGTTTACGAACTTGAACTCCAAATTATCTCTAAGATAATTATCTAGGTCCTAGTAGGGGTCACTAATAACTTATATCTTATTCTCTTTATTCTTACGTTGGAAACATTTTTTCGAAAAAAAACGCGTGATTGCCAAGCTTTTGAGGTGTACGGATATTTAATCTAATAGTCTAAAAAACAGATATGTTATTTTTTTATTGAAATACTATTTACTTTGGATGTCAGGTATGGTCCGCCAGTGATTGGAGGAGTAATAGACAACTGTCAGTTAACTGACTGCCCATTTTATGAGCTGGATCCCATAAGGCATTTCGTGCCAGAGACCGCATTCGAGATATACGAAAGAGCTAGCTTTGGACATGGTTGTGAACCAGATCATTTTGTTATTCTCGCTCAGGGGAATAAGAATAAGGTTGCTAAAGTGGACCAATGTAAGTTTATATCTTCAACGCCATTTCATACAAAAGATGTTTCTGCTTTACACGCCAAACAGGAAGATATTTCAATCACAAATATGCCAACGAGTACTTTATTCTTTAACTTTTGGAAATTTTACTTATCGTGGACATTGGAGCCTGTATGCTATTTCCGGCATGGTTTGTGACGAAGAGTTACGTCAGAACAGTGATAGAAAGGTTATGCTTTTTTTGCTTATCTAGGCTTACTCGATATATCACATCTATTAAACGACTGACAGCTCAATCTAACCGTTGCTGCAAAAAAAATCCTTTATAATGAACAAACAAACAATTTATTTCACTTCGCCAAATCTTTCCTTTTCGGTTTAATGTGACTACAATATTATATACTTAGGTATAATACTTTTATAAGTTTACAACTGTTGTTTCATTTTTATTGTTTACTTTTCAATGGTTAAGTGGCAGAATAGCTAGAAGCTAAACTTCGCATTCAATAAAAGAAGTTTATTATCAAAATTATTAAATTGATAAAAGCGAACTTAGCCAGTACCTGAATTAAAACGACGAACTAGTCAATCAAAAATAAGAAATATGATTATATGAGATAGTATTATACAGGGTGCTTCAAAAGAAAGTTCATATTTTGTGGACTAATTACGAAAAAACTAATGCATGTATCGGAAATGTGTAAATTATTTATTATTGTACACAGTTTGGAAATTTACTTTTTGAAAATAACATCATCCAAATGTAAACCTTCTTGGTCACGGCAGTCATTTATTCGGACTCTAAAATTTCTTATGACGGCTTGGCGGGTCGACTCTGTGATGGTAGCCATTTAGTGACGGACATTTGCTTTCAAATGCGCCAATTTATGACACCCTTCTGGGAGATCAATTTGCCAGGGAAAATTTCACGAACTCCTGACAGAGACTGGTTGGACGTGTGAGATGTTGCTCCTGCAATCATGTCTCTTGGTTATAGCCAGGAAAGTTTTGCAATTCAGGTACCAGAAAGTTATCTAACAACTCCACATAACGCTCCGAAGTGATTTTCACTGTCCCCCTTCATCCTCTAAAAAGAAAGGGCCGATAATTCCTCGCGCCGACATTGCAGCCCATACGGTGCTTTTAGGGGAATGTAGGGGCTCTTCATGCTTACGTTTTCGGTTAGTCTCACTCCAGTAGCGGCAGTTTTGCTTATTGACATGCCCGATCAGATGAAAATGAGCTTCATCCAAAAATAAGATATTAGTGAACGTTGAAAAGTGCTAAATTGCAAACTCAAGCCGTTGGCTGGCAGCATGGGGCTTCAATTCTTGTACAATTTAAATTTAATATGGCTGCAGCTTAAGATCCTTTTTCATAGTGCACTGTAATGATGATCTAGGCACATTTAACGCACTTACGCACTTTCGAATTGAGAGATACGGATCATAACGAACAGATTGCTTCATACGCTCCACATTTTTTCCCGTTTTTGAAGATCTTGGTCTCCCCGATTTTAGCTGTTCCAAGGTTGTACCAGTCTCCTCAAACTTCTTGACCCACTTTCTAATGAGCTGTATCCTTGGTGCTGCATTGAGGTACCGAATACCTCGAATGTTAAAAAATGCTCTACGCGTTACAGTCGCTGAATCACAGTGTTTATTAAATTCTCGCAGCGACTAAATTCCCAAGAATCACGATACCGATTGACACATCCCCCGCGTCCCTCGGATTCATTGCGATCGCCCAGGAAGCTAAAAAGTTTCTTTTGGGACACTATCTTGGATAAAAATCAAGCTAAACGTACTAAGGCTATTAAAATAGTAAATTGACTAATAAATATTGACGTTTTACTGGCCGAAAACTGAGACTATAGAACTATAAATAATGTCTTTACTGACGTTTCGGCCTCGGCGGCCTTTTTCAAAGTACAAATTGACTATTATAAATATTTATAAATATGGACTCAAATTTTGTGATTTTTAGTGTGCTATGTAGGATTTAGCACCCCTGCAAGGCTTCTTCCACAAGCAGTCCGAAAAGCTGTCTATGTTCCTTCGGAAATTGAATGCAAGCTAGAATGTTCGAAATACAGGCATGGAACGTTGTTCCAGTGTATGTCCTTCAGCTTCAGGTAAGTGGATGATATTGGATCGCAACCATAAAGTGAAAAATAATCGGGATATAAACAAAGTTTTCATTCTTTCTTGTCGAACTTTCGAATCTATTACTCACAAAAGCCATTGACGTTTTAAGTTCACAGTCTGAGTTGAACAAACCATTTGTGGTCGGTTTTATTACCCGACTGCCGCAGAACGAGAGTAATGTGTCTTGCGCGTCGGTATATCCTATGATCAAAAAGTACCGGGAATTTAAGAATAAAACGAAAACGGTTTAATTTTCAGTCAAATTTATTTTATCGCCCTCAAAATAACATCTATTTGAAGCAACAGACATATGCCAGCGTTTCACCCACTCGTCCGTGCACCGCTGGTAAGTCGCCAAAGGTATGGCCTTCAGCTCTCTCGTCGCATTCTGCTTGATGTCATCTATGGACTGGAAAGTGGTAATTTGAGCTTTGGGAAGAGAAAAAAGTCGCACGGAGCCGTATCAGGTGAATACGCTTGTTTAATGGTATTTACTCGATGTTTGGTCAAATAATCAAGCACAATTCTGACCCGATAAGACGGCGCGTTATCGTCGTGCAAAATCCACGAATTATCGGCCCACAATTCCGGCCGTTTACGACGTACGGCATCGCTCAAACGCTTCAAAACGGACAGTAGCAATCTCTTTTAAGCTGGTATGACGATTTCCGAGCACTACTTCCTTCACTTTTTTGACGTTCTCGTCAATGTTTAACGTGGATAGGTGGCAGAGCTAGGCAAATACCTTACCACTATACGACCAGTTTTAAAGTCTTTATACCATTCGTATGACTGAGCTTTCGACATTTCAGACTCCCCAAAGGCTTTTTGCAACATTGTTAATGCATCAATGTTAGCAACACAAAATTTCAGATAAACCCTTTGCTCAACAAAACGATCTATATCAAAATGCGACAACAGTTAAAAAGTTGACTGACGTAAACAGATGCCAGACAGATACCAATAAGGCACTGGCGCTAAAATATTGACACGTATGTCAGTTCAGGTGGTACCGTCCTAAAAAAAACTTAAAATCACCTATTCTGTCATGTGTAGTTTGCTAAAATTAAAAGTTTCCGGTACTTTTTGAAACGAACACCATATTCACCATTTCTTCTTTAGAAAAATTCATTATCAAACACGTTTTTATTATAATACTCACAAAGCTAATTTTGACAGTTTTTAACTAATCAACAATTTATTTGTTTCCAAGGATGATGCGATATCTTAGGGAATTAAGCAGTTCCATAAAAGACGTGTTAAACGTGTAAAAACCCTTATGCGTCTAGTATAAAAAAAGCTCATAGAAAAATGAATCCAAACTCGCACAAATATACAGGGTGATGCATTTGAAAATTTTGAGAAAAACTACAATTTGCGTTTTTGACCACCCTGTATGAGCAAAAATTAAAATTCGAAAAAGCAACAAATAAGATAAAAGCTGAGGCGTGTCAGTCCTATCTCAGTAGCTAATTACCAAAACCCCATAGAATGTTATATCAATTTTCTTCTGTTCAATTGATTTATCCAAATATGCAATAAAATTTGAGGCGTTCCATTTGAAAAATCACAACTTTGATATGTATTCCGTCCACACATGGATGGGCCACCCTGTATATACCTGTATCAAAAAATTCTATTTCACCAGCTACCGACCCAACGGCTTGACGGTGTGTCTCTAGATTTGTTTTGACAGCCCGAGTAACACTGGATATACCAAAATTTCGTAAAATAAAAATGACGGATGCTTAAGCTCAATGTTGAAATATCTATTTCACGGACTACGGCCCAAACGGCTTGATGAATTTAGACATTTGAGGTGTTCTTAGATTCAACATGAAGCAGTTTTAAGCGATCTATCAATCAAAACCGGTCGTGTTCGGTTTCAACTTTTTCATCTTAAGCGACGCGGCTTGCAACAGCTGTCAAATGATGAAGTCACAAGCTGGCCCTTCGTGACGTTACTATTACTGACAGTTACGGCCAATAACATCCTTGCACAGGTGGTGGTTTCTAGGCGGTACATCACAGTTTTTCGCTTAGAATTGCTTGTGATATCACAACTAAAAATGCATTCTTTTCAGTTATTGCAGACATAAAGTATTGTATTTTTAAAAATATACTCGTTTAATACCATGTTTTGTGACACGATACATGATAAGCTATTTTCGATTAGTTGAAGGAAATTTCTAGGGCTGGAGGCTCCACGTTCTCACCAAACTGCCACCTCTCCGACATCTTGCAGCGAGACTTATTGCAAGACATCGATTACGTCTATGATACAAACTGGAAATTATTTGCATGGGATACCTTTACTCCTGATTGCGTTGCTATTATTTACGCAACTGAGGATGGGGATAACAATCATTTGGGGCATGGAGGAGACATGGACCACAAGCACGGTAACTATACTATATATAGGGTGTTCCGTACTCTATTGGACATAGTGAAATAGTACAGTCGGTACCATGTGCGTAGCTTAAGAGAGAAATTGCACGTTGCGCAAGATAATCCATAACGCAGCCGTTACATACTCATGGACGCACAAACATGAATGGGGTGATAAAGGCGCGCCGTTTTTACTCACTTTCTGATAATACTTCTAATGCACACTGTCATCATTGTAGTTATATCTTCAGACATTACTATGTTTTATCGGGAGGAATGACAGGAGTAAACACAAAAAGCACGCACATGTCAAACAACTTGTCACACTGACAGACCGTATGACTTGAGCTTACACAAACAAACGTCCGCGCCATGAAGATAGGAGGTTTAGCTCATGGAGTGAGGGTGTAACAAAAAATTTCGACGATGCATTGAGTTGATACAGTTCGCAAATGAATTTCAGGTTCTGCACACGTGGCATCTCTTAGAGTTGTTAATTCTCGTTACTTTCAAGTATTAGTTACCAATCGTTACTCTTCTACAAAGTAATCAATTATTGTATTCGTTACTTTGATTACTATGGGTAATACGAGTATAACGATTTGACAATGTACGTCGTGTAATTCAGGACTGATGTCGAATTTGAACAACATCAGTGGAAATACTACATTATGCTTTAGTTTGGCAAATAAACACCCTTAAAATTTGCAAAATTTTCCAATCGCAATATATATATATATATATATATATATATAAAGAGAAAAGGATCGTGCGGAAAAAGGTATATAACAAATAGAAAAATAATGGGCAAAATCCGCAAAAAGAAGGAAAATGAAGTCGAGCAGAAAATAGGATAGGTAACCCGAGCGATACGTATTTCTGCTCGTTGGCTTCATCAGGCCCGAAATGAATGCACATATGCAACTACAAGAGTAGATACACATGCTCATACATCCGGATACGGGTGTAACCTGAGGTAACAAAGATGGAGAGGATATAAAATGACACACGAAGTCCACAACAAGAGCCAAGCTACATATTGTTGTATAAAATGGCCAGAAGACCTCGAATTTTCAAGGCGACAACTAACAACAACCACGTGGTCGGTTATAGCCACTTGCTGTGGTACTTCCAGTCCAAAGGATCTACAAAGAGAAAAGGATCATGCGGAAAAGTGTAAATAACAAATAGAAAATTTATGTGCAAAATCCGCAAAAAGAAGGAAAATGAATTCGAGCAAAAAAAAGGATAGATAACCCGAGCGATACGTATTTCTGCATTGGCCATTTTATAGTGCAATGTTGGCTCTTGTTGTGGATTTCGTGTGTCAATTTTTTTTCCTCTCCATCTTTGTTTCCTCAGGTTACACCCGTATCCGGATGTATGGGCATGTGTATCTACTTTTGTAGTTGCATATGTGCATCCATTTCGGACCTGATGAAGCCAACCAGCAGAAATACGTAACGCTTGGATTACCTATGCTATTTTCTGCTCGAATTCATTTTCCTTCTTTTTGCGGCTTTGCCCAATATATTTATATTTGTTACATATATATATGTATACATATTATGGGTTATTACAAAATAGGGAGTCATATGTCTCATATGTGAAAATACTTTATATTTACTAGAAATACTTCAAAAACAGTAGTTACAAAGTTGATCTGTTTATGGGCTTGAGGAAATTCGGAATGGCAAGTAACTTTTCGAAGCTATTGGCATTTCAATTAAGCATGTGATTCTAGTGGAGCTTAGTCTACACATACCACCTGAATCTCTGGCAACCCTGATGCAACAGCAGTAGTGCCTAAGATAGCAGAAACAAGCGTTGCCACTCAATGATCAACGATTGTACTGTACGGGTACGGAAAACTCAGTAATCGAAATAATAATCATTTGGTGCTCGGAATTGTTACTCGTTACCTCGGGTATACATAAGTAACAAATATTCGGGTAATGAATAGTTACTTTCTCAACATCTCTAGAATCTCTCTCAGTTGCGGTCATCATGATTCCAAACAACTCTAAGAAGTATCAAGGAAAGATAGAAAAGTTTCTATGTGCAGACACAACAAACCAAATTACCTGTCTGCTGATGATCTACTAGTAGCAATAAAATAATTTTTAATTAATATTTGGGGAACAGGGAACATGTTGTCCGTTTTGGTGGGATCGAGATCAAATTAAAAAACACCTTTGTTTTTTTTAACTCAGATATGTTGCAGTGTAGATAAATAGTGGAACATAAAGCAATATAGAACTAGAAGGTGGGCTTTTAACTCGAGTTGAGAAGGTCAAGAAACGACTTGAGACTAGAGATGGGCGCTAGGAGCAGATAATCTTAAATATTTCAGATGGGCTATCATTTTTTTTATTTTTCCGTAGTAACTCTAGTTTTAGAGATATATGCGATTGAATATTTGAAAACGTGCCATGTTCGACTCCAAAAATCAGTATGGAAAACTAAAATTTCACTGTTGTCAAAGTTCCTGAATATTCTTCAAAAATTCTTTAACATAACCTCAAAGCATGTTAAGGGTTGTTGTTATTGTAAACCTTTTTTTAATTGCTTATAATTGCCATTGATATATTGCTTATTAAATGGTGAACCGTTTATAAAGATATTATAAGCAATTGAAAACACAAAGGTTCACAATAACAATACCCTCTGAAATGCTTTGAGATTTTGTTAATGGATGTCTTAAGGATATTTGGTTCCCTTGGCAACATTGAAATATCTGTTTATTCATATTGTTTTTTGGGTACAATACGCTATATTTTGCACTTTTTCAAATATTAAATCGCTTGTATCTCTGAAACTGGAGCTGCTACGGAATAAGAAGTACATTTTTGAAATAATCGCACCAGAATGGCTGGTGGCATGAGCACCTGCATAAATTTTTCTTAGTGAAGGCCGATCATCGGCAAGAGATAACATTTTGTGAAAACTTATTGAGGAGCGAGCGGAGGGAAGGGGGTAGCAAATCTTCTCGTTTAATACTAAAAATCCTGAAATTGTACACAAAATCATACTGAATACCCAAACTATATCGTCCAATTGGATTCTCAGGGGAAAGGGCACCCCTCCTCTCCCTCCCCCTTGCAGACGCTCATAACTGTTAGGCTGTTTTATCTGCCACTAGACTTTCCTGCAATTCCATTGCAACTATACAACTGTTATTTTTTAAACATAATATTAATTTTAGATACATCCTATTATGGTTTGGACACATGGAGAGTTTACAGTGTTAGCGGTTGGCCTTGCCGGAGAGGTAGTACCTGCATAGAAAATAAAGAAGCTGGTTTTTGGTACTGCGAGTTAGAAGGGGCTGAAAGCGGAAGTTGGGATTATTGCTGCAGACCAGATCATCAATGCGGTGCATCTTACGAATATCCATATCAATGGTAAGAGAATGATGAAAGCACATAAATTTAAAAATATTCGCATAAGAATAAGCTAGCTGATTTTTTACTTTCCACGCCTACTGGCGAGGAAGTATTGTTCTCGCGAAAAATTTTGAAAATGAGATATTGTTATTTGTATGTTATACAGGGTGTTATGATAGTCATTATTTAAATGGGTGATAGAGGGGGTTAGAAGAAGCAAAAAGTTTCATATAACATGGGGTCAAAACGGCATTTTTTTAGAGAAAAGCGACTTTAAAGTAAAGTAAAATCTGCACAACGCCGCAATGCCAGACGCAACTTACGACGGAACGCAGTATAAATAAAGATGAAGTTTGTTATTTCTGGCTCTTAGGTATTATTTCATTATTTGATAATGTACTCGTAAAATGCAAACAATAAAAAAACGGACTTATCACTAACTATCTAAGCGCTTCACCTAGTGTGTGAAAGTTTATTGAACGTATTAAAAAAATCCACTTATAAATAGGGAACATAATTTTGATACAAACATTGTTTTTCTTTTTAAAACCCACACTGCACTTTTTTGTATTTAAAGAAGGTGTTCAAAATGTTGTACTCCACTTTCCACACAAGCTTCATTACGGCGAACCCAGTTTTTTCTTACTCTAGGTCCTCGAAGTTGTCCATTTATTATTTCAGCCGCATGAATTTCTTTTTCGCGAAGTTGTGCTTCAGTTGTTATTGGACTAGCCCCATAAATCATCCCTTTAAGTTCTCCCCAATACCAGAAATCCATCGGATTGAGGTCAGGAGATCTTGCTGGACTATTTTTGGGGATCAGGATTATTTCGACTGATCCAGCGATTTGGATAATGTTCGTTCAAATACTGAATGACGCCTCTAAAAATGTGTCTCCGTTGTAATGGCATATTGTCTAAGGTCTGTTCCACCTGGTAGGTTATTGGCTAGAAAGCTAAGGTATCCTCCTGGCAACTTTGGTGGTAACTCGAAAGGGCCGCTTACCTGATCGTCAAGAATACCCACCCAAATATTTAGTTTAAAACTTTGTTGGAAATGACCTTCACGAATGGTATGAGGATTTTCTTGGGCCCACGTGTGAGTATTATGGAAATTTAATATCCCGTCTCGCGTAAAAGTACATTCGTCCGTTGCTAGAATGTTTATAAAAAATCCTGATTTTCAATGTTTTTGTGCAAAAACCACTGACAGATTGTTAGTCTGAGAGGATAGTCTTCTATTAGCAAGGCCTGCACTGGTTGTACATGGTAGGGATAAAGCAAATTTTCCCGTAGGATTCCATGTACTATGGTATGCGATAGTCCTACGCGGCGGCTTATTTCCCGAGTACTGTTATCTGCATTGATTTCCACGATATTTAAAATTAGTTACTCCTGCTCTACAGCAACCTGTCTTTCACGAGTGCGAATATTAGTGGGCTGAACACTTCCTGTATCTCGAAGTCTTTGGTACACTTGCACAAATGTCCTTCTGTCTGGGTGTACCCGTTGGCGAAATCTGTCGGGATAAATTTGAGCTGCAAGATTAGAATTCTGACGAGCTTCACCATAAAATAACAACATGTCGGCGAACTCTTGATTCGAGAACATTGTAAACAACACGCCCGATGCCCGATAACAAACCACTGTTACCGTTTGCGATCGATTGCCGGCTGGATAAGAGTGATGGTGACCGACGCGCTGTTGTCATGTGTGTTTTAAATATGCAATTTAATGAAACTTACTTACTTACTGACTACAAATTTTGTGAAAGCGTTTTAGATTAGATTATAAAAATTAGTAAGATTATGGTGATTGTGGTCGATATAAAACACTTAAAGTTGTAAAATATAAAGCCATTTAGACAAAAATCTATTGACTTTTGGACCATGGTTTTGACTTGTTTTGACCCTCCCTATTTATTACTCATTTCAATAATGACTACCATAACGTTTACAGCCTGTATATATCATGGACATCATGAAAAACCATGACACTCATTTCCGTCGCTCTGTCCGCTAATCCTTGACCCGTCTATAACTTGGAAATGACAGCTCGAATTTGGATGAAAGGACCCGACAACAGGCCGATGGGAAAAGTGGTTTTGGTTGATTTTGCTGAATATTTTATATGTTATGCGTCTTGGCATCCCGAACAAATTTATCAATGGGAATAGACCCCGAACCTCTACGGGTCCTAAGATATAGCCGTCCAACCCGGTATAATGAGGTATCGGCCATACTCGAATATCTGCTTAAATGGAAGAGTGGTTTCGCGCAATTTCGCTGAATTTTTCATGTTATCTGTCTCAGCGTCCTGAATAAATGTCTTGATTGTCACAGGCCCAAAAACTCAACAGGCCTCAAAATATAAGCGGTCCAACTCGAATATCTGCTTTAAGTGGAAGAGTGGTTTCGGTCAATGCCCATTCATTTTCCATATACTAAGTGGACAAATGTTTTAATGGGCAACACCCCCAAAACTTGACGGGTCCCAAGATATAGGCGGTCCAAGTCAGTCTCATGGGGTAACGGTTTTACTCGAATATCTGCTTTAAGTAGAGGAGTGGTTTCGGTTAATTTCGCTAAATTTTCCATGTTATATAGTATATCTCGGCATCCTTAACAAATGCGTCGGTTATCTCTTGCAATATTTTTATTTTGAATGGATGAAATTTATGGAGTCTAGTATATGGCAGCAGCGGTGGCCGCAGTAGTAGACTCTTCGGTCTCCTGATCAGTCGCCGTGCGCTGTGCGGGTTCGAGTCCCGTCCCAGGAGAAATTTTTCTCTTGGCTATGGATGTGGTGATTATCCGTAGGTGGTAGATGGTCTCTGACTGTCGAGCGCGGAGGTACCACCCGGCGGTTCTCGTAGGCGGAGCCAGAATGTGTGCATGTTGCATGCACACGTGTTCCCTCGCCAGAGTCCGTATGGCGTTCCCCCTTTCCCATGTATCCCCCTATAGCCCCACGGTACCCAATGGGTGCTTAGGCCTTAGGCCTTCGTGGTAGTTGGAGTATAAAAAAAAAATGTGTGTACAGAGCCTAATGAAATACCAGTCGCAGCAACAATTTTGCGTAATGGAGTATTAGGATATATTTCAAAATGACCCACAACTTCAACATGAACGGTTTCAACCAAAACTCACTGATGATCACATCTTTATTTGCAACAGATCCAGTTTGAGTAAATTTAGTAACAAGGTCCAAAACATACATACCTATGCGAAGCTATCTTCCCCGGATGTCTGGCGTTAAACGTGACGGCAGTTTGCCGAGCACATTGATTTTGGGCACCATAAACTAGAATCATTTTCACTCTTTCATCTAGTGTGTAAATCATTTTGGAAGTAAAATCTGAATCAATAAATTAATTAAAAATTAAATTCTTTCTTTCCCTTAGCAACAAAAAACTAAACAGGTATAACAATAAATACTGATCGTCCAGGATATCTGTGTTGATGAGAAGAATGCGGAAAAAAGTCGGGTTGTTATTTGGTTGTTGCCATCTTCTGAATTGCTGTTTATGTTGGCAGTTTTTGTTTTTTATAAACGAATTGTAGATCTGGCAAACCCTAATGGGTGACATTTTGAACACCTATTGAAATAAAAAGTGATATTTTCGTGTGTATATTGTTTTCTATCTGAACAAATTAAGATAAATATACATTTTTCTAATTTTCTGGAAAACGAATCGACTGATTTAAAAAATCAAACGTTAAAATAAAGGACTACAATAGACCTTTCAAACAAGCTATTACTCGATACCCCTTGTCATTTAAAAAAATTAAGGGAATGACACTGGGGGGGCGATGGTGAAAGGGGGTGAAACAGTTTTTGGTTAAAAAGTTGTCCCTCTTCACAAATTTTTTTTGACGTGTCTCGGCGTTTTTTCTTTTAATCAGTGCTTTTCGATAAATCCGTGGTGGAAAGTTTTCATATGAACACCCTGTATATAAAGAGTGATATCGGTTAATTTCGCTGAATTTTTTACATGTTATGTGTCTCGCTATCCTGAATGAATGTCTTAATGGACACAGGCCCCAAAACTCGTCGGGTTCCAAAATGTAGGGCGTCCAAGTCGTTATAATGATGTGTCGGATTAACTCAGCTACCTGCTATATCTAGAAGAGTGGTTTTGGTTAATATGACCGAATTTTTGAAATATCATGTATCTCGGCATTCTGAATAAATGCCTCAAGGGCAAAAACAATTGGAACCACATGCCTTTTCTTTTGAGGTAGAGGAATTAGACTCGGTGAAGTTTAGTAACAGGTAGGCCGACGAACCTGTCTAACTGCTAACTGGCTACAGCTTATAACTCAACAAGAGCGATGACAGTGACAGCTCCTTGTGTATTTTTCTGTCTCTGGGAGTCCGCATATTGATCGAACACATCATTGTGAGAGGACATTTTTAGTTCATTCCTTTCTTGTTGCATCTACAAAGTATTCATTACTGAGTATTGCGCAAGACTTTTTTTTTCTTTGCATCATCTATTATTTGTTGGCCGTTTTTTATATTTTGTTTATCGTGTTTCATTTTTGTCGTTTCGGTTTTCGTTTTCCATTTTCCGTTCTGATTTTTCGTACTTATTTAATTCCGTTATCTTTAGCAGTACGCATAGCGTTTAAATTTTAAGTTGTACAGCTTACATTTTATACTATACCACCGAGCATGCCGCAGCGCATGACATCTTACGTGTGTGATGGAGTTTTCGCTATTCGAACCATGCGACTCATGAGAAACGTCAGCAATCAAAAGGTGGAGATTGCTATGAGGTACCGTGAGGAGCTCAACCACCGTGCTTTTGTGATCAACGATGTTCTTCTTTTTCTATATCTTGAGACCCGTTGATTTTTGGGGCATGTGCCCATTAAGACATTTGTTCAGAATGCCGAGACACACGGCATATAAAAAATTCAGCGAAATTAAGTCAGTCAAACTTCGTTTTTTTGACGTATCGGAAACATTTTTGCAGAAGTAATAAATTAGGGGTTGGGGTTGTAGGGGGTAGCGGAAGGTATATCTCAATTTTTTTTATGATACTGTATTTATACGCTCCCATCGCCGTTAATTCTAGGCACGTATTGAACATATTGCACACATCATAGATTTCCCGGGCGTACCGGTCTCGATAAGTGCATTGCTATCGCGTGCCGCCTATGGGGAAAGGGCGACATTGCCAGATGGACGGCACTACCGGTAGACCAGGGAAAGAATGTGTATGGACTATTTGTATGAGCCTATTTGTCTGACTTGTCCGTTTAATTTATCTGTTGTATATGTTCGTATAGTTGTTGTCACTATTTTTGGCGGGGGGTCAAAGTAAGTCTACCAGTATCCCTTTAAATATCTCCATCTCCCTCATTCATACACATGCAACCTATCCCTACGTTTGTTCGGTAAGCTCAAAGGCATACGTTTTTGAGTTGTGTGCCTCCGTATCGAAAACTTTGTCGTTACGTATGAGCACCCTTCAATCATATTTGTCAGAGTGACAACTTGCTTCTGTTACTACTACCTGTTATCAATCTTCAATATGAAATTGTACAATGCCCGGAAATACGATCAATGGATAAGGCCGACAGCTCTTGCTAAATTTATTAGAGTATGGTATTTCCAGGAAGAGAATGAAAACAGAGGTCCAGTTACCCACTTCCGCTCAAGACTGGTCTGCACAGTGCTCCGCCCATGGTTCGGAGACTCGATCCATTTACTTATTTCATATCACGTTGATGACGTAACCCCCAAGAAGGGTGACTACAACTATAGCTAACTTTTTCCTCAGAGGGTCTAACTTGTGCTGAACATAATCCTTTATGAACTGATGACGGCGTAACGTTGTAAGGGCAGTGTCAACGTACTTGACGCCATTGATTAACTTGAAAATGGTGATTGTTAAGTATAAAAATGTTGAACAACCTTAAAAATTACAATAACAACTTCATTAAGTTTTGACGTCTATTGAGGTGAATAGCTGATCAGAAACTGGCATATTTGATTTAAAGTCTAGCGGTAATGCTTTCAGTAGCGCCTCTTTACTTGGATGATAAAGACAATCCGATTATGTTGATTGATTTTATATTTATTCTTTTGAAAAGGTATTTCTAAAAGAATAATCCGTTATTCTAAGCATTCCTAATACTATCTCTATTTTTTCAGGTGTTACGTAGGACCCGCGAGAACCCAGTGGCGTAAATGCAGTGACAGCTACTACCCATACATCCGCCACTTGATCGACGAGCGCTCCGACCATCATCACAAACCGTACCTCCCACCTCTTGAGGATATTCGACCTCCTGGAGGTCTATATCCTCCGCCTCCTTACCGACCTGGGGCCAGACCGGATAGACCTCCTGCGCCATCCATAGAGCCGCTGCCCACGCCTTCCTTGAGTCAGTATGAGCAGCAGTTTGATGATGAATTTTTGAGTTTGAAGCCGCCTAAGTTGCCAGGTAGGAATTTTCAAACTCATTTTTTTTATTATCGGGACGCAATGACAAGAACGGCAGCACGCGTAGTAAACTAACCTGTTGAAATATATGGCGGCTAAAAGTTTATTGCCATTAGCCGCGTCTCGTGAGGGAGTTGCCATATATTTCAATATTTTAGTTTACTATGGATGATGGTGACATCTCCTTGGCGTCCCGCAGGGTTATTACGTAACAAACCTGTATAATGTCAAAAAACACACAAAACGACAACTTGCTTCTAGTGTGCAAATACTAAGCACTGTGAGCGTCACCAAAAGCGTCATCTATGGACGAATCACTCAAGGACATGACACGCTCAATGACCATTCTGCAAGTCGTCAGTTTCCCAGCATGCTTTGTTGGTTGCAGAATGCAGAGTACATCTCAGAAAGAAAATTGGTTGTGTAGCAAGATCGCATCTGGATCATTGTGTATTGGTCTGCATGTGTCTGCAGTGATATTTGTTATGTGAGAAAATTATTTCTGAGTGTGCTGCCCTTGAAGTATATCTATTAGCCGTACTAGACGGGTTATTTGTGTTGTCCTTTCTGAAGATGTTCTAAGTTATAAATTATAATTTTACCCGTTTTTTGCGTTTTCAAAAACTTTGTGAAACAATATCTTCCTTTCTGAAAGTGGCAAAATTCTGTATTAGTTATGGGGGAACAGAGGGCAAAGCGGAAGACTAGCAGTTTTTTTTTCGTCAGTGATAGTTTAAGGTTTAGGGATGCACTTGTGTTACAAAATATTCTTTAACAATTTGGCCACTTAATTTTGAGTCAGATAGTATCATATTAGTAAGATGTTTTGCTAAAATATTTTTTACAACGCAAAGTAGAAACCGCTTCTGGGCAAAGCGGAAACTATGTTCGCACAAAAGGAATAGAACAATAAATAGGTACATTATTTATATGCAAATAGTTTTTATTTATAACATTATAATTATTATTTTAGCTTACAGATATCGCAAAGGTATAGTTTTCTCATATCAGATCAATCTGCCCACATTTCATGTAACCATCCTTTGCAAATAGAGCATTCTATCCCAGTCTTAGTTGGAGGATCTGTATATTCTTCTCGACAAACTAAACAGAACATCCTTAGTTATTTTTCCTATTTTGCCTGGTAGATTACATTTTTTTGGCATTATAACTTTTTCTCGGGTTTCCAACAACCTGGTAAGGAGAACTCGTAAATATCTCAGATTTCTGAGATCTTTTTTTTCTAGTTGCAATAATAGGATGCGCTACCTTAGGTAGAGGTAAAATGTCTTTTGGTGATACCAAGGGTAGGCTGCGGCTATTGAAATAGATTCGTCTCGGATGGCAACAATATTTTTGTCCATTATGATTGCAGATATACTCGTAGTTTTTTCTGGCGTCTTGTTAATCACTTCATCGACATATTTGCTGGAGGATGTTCCTTAGGGTCCAAGTTGGTCAGACTGTTGGGTATCTCACAACTAGCAATTACTAGTCGAATATCTAAATATTTTTTCTTGAGGTCAGCTAGTGGAATATCCCCGTATGAATCTGTATGGATTGCTTCATTTCTAATAGGGGATTCTTCCGCTTCATTTACAGAAGGAAAATAATGAACTTCAGCAGAGGAGAAGTCAATATCCGTGAAAATATTTCTATTATATGGGAATATTCCACATTTCCAGAATCAAAGGCAATTCTTACTAATTGTGCTAATTGTGTAAATGTCAAACTGGGTTATCCAGCGCCCGGGATGATTCTTTTGAAACATATCCACTGCCCCTTCAAAGGCCGCCTTAAATGGGTTGTACACGACAACCTCAACGGGCTGAAGCTTATGGGTTGCGTGGTGTGGAACAAAAATAATTATTACCCCATTGTCTCTTGCTAAATTTAGAGCATCTAAACTTTGATGCGAGCTATGGTTATCTAATATGAGTAAAGCAGGACGGCCTTTACTGGAATGTACACACTGGACGAAGAAGCCTAACCACTTCACGAAAAGTTCACTCGTACTCCATCCAGAGTCAGAGCACCAAGCTTTAGAACCAATTGGACTACGGTCTAACAAGCTTTCATTTATTTTTTCTTTCTCTTACCAAATATCATGCATTGTGGAAGGAATCGCCCAGAGGCACTGCAACAGCCTATAACGGTGGTAATCTGGTCCTTTTCCGCAGAACTTATCACCCCTACTTGTTTTTTCCCTTTAACAGAGAGGACCTTGGGCGGTTTCTGTGCAGTTTCATCCATGTTAAAGATGTCATCTTGACGCTGCAGTAGGATGTGATTTTCGAATACGTTCCACAAGTTATCATAAAAAATATCAACCTGCCGTCTGTTGAGACCACAGCAACGAGCTATACTTGTAAGTTCAGTGGTACGAAAGGATAAATCAGGATTCCGTGACATGAGACCCTTCAGCCAGGAATCTTCCACCTTCATGTTTTTAAATGGATGTTTAATAGCATTTTGATCAGAGATTTTGTAAGCCAACTCCTTTAAGCTCTCTCTGATTAAACCTAGCGTCTAATTAGCCACTAATTCCTACCTGCTTTTTATAAGTGCCTTTCCGTTAATGACGATGTAAAGTGACAATCGGAATTTTGTATTCCACTGAGGCAGATAAAATGGAAGATATTCGGGATTCTTCAATTACCAATAGCATATTATCTTCGGTCCATGACGCTTATGTCGATCTTCATTGAAATTTATTCACCACGCTGAAAGAAATGAGAAATAACGTTAAAAAGCACAAGCTGTTATGGTGATGGCAAAGTGGAAAGTTTCTACTTTGCCCGCACTTTTAGATTTCCACTTTGCCCGCCACAACAGGTAAGATTTTCTAGGTTATAAAAACAAAATAATTAGCAATGACTGCACCGTTTCTACGTTAATACATTAATGAGATATGGAGTTAGTTTGTTTTAGTAAACAGTCCTCTTTGTAATATCTTTAGCACTATAAAATAAGCTACAAACTGACCTTGAAATTTTTTTACCGGGAACCTTATACAAATAAGCACTCAAAACACGTGAATAAGCAAGCAAGCCGTGCAACCATATGCGTTCTCTATCGGTAGGAAGCCCAAGTTCTTGAATGTAGAAAATAGAATACTGCCTTGTATAAGACAAAGTGTAGAACTTGGCTTTCCGCTTTGCCCGACCCTTCCATTTTGCCCTCTCTTCCACTAAACTAGATCAAACTGGACTCCATTACGTAGTGACAACACTAATGGTAATTTTGTCTTGACATTTTCAGCTGGAATATCGCAATCCAGACACTGGCCAATATCTTATCTCCACAAAGAGATGCCTCCAAACATAACCGACCCCGAACCTCAACTTTCAAAACACAACCCCAAATACCAGGCTATCCAAAGCCTCATTAACGTTATCAAGAATAACGACCTTCAGAACCTGGAATACCACATTTCCAACGATACCAAAAGTGATGACATTCTATTCGTAAGGATACCTTTACCAGCCAACTTCACCAGAGATGCTAAGAATTCAATTCAGAGTAACACTAGCGTAGAACTAGCAATGTCAGAGAGTAAGAGATCTCAGAAATCGTTGTTTCCTCCTACAGATGATGAAGGCTCTGCCACAGGATCCACAGAATTTATACCTAGGTGGGGTAGGAATTCTAGAAGAGGATTTGTTACCAGGGCGAATTTGACATCGCATGGAAGACGATCTTGATTTTTTGTGTTGATTCTTGAGTTTTGCCATACAATACAAGTTGATGTAAAGAGCCCGTCAGGGTTATTACGTAAGTTTTTTTTTCAAAACCGGCTGATTTCATAGTTTCCAGATTAGATTTGTTTCAGCCAAAGTATCAGGTTATCCAAAAACATCATCGTTGAGCCATTATTATGTGTCACAATCTTATTGGGTTGTAAATGGATCCAATGCACTGATTACATATGTTGAGCCATCCTAATAACAACAGTACAATACCAAATTAGAGAGAAATGAAACATGACTACAAAACCATGGCCTCCACAAAACAGCTGATGGCGTCTGATCACGTGTTGTTCTTATTTAGACGGAAATAAATGCGATGTTGCCAGACCGATAATCCTTTTTGGATTAATTCACTGACCATCACTTGTAGTGAAGGCATTTTTTTGAAATTCACTTTTGTTTGGAGATTTATTCATGGTTGTGATATTTATCATCGGTTTGCCGCCTACGGAATATATTCTTCATTCAATAAAGTAACAACTCACACTTTTTGCGAGAGAAATTATTCTCAAAACCTGCTGTAGATTTAACTTTTCGGACCTTACTCTTAAAAGAGGAACGTCAGCTTGAAATTCATAAGTTTTCTTACCTCAAATTGCGAATTTTCCAATCGTCGGTCTATTTGACAGTTACTGGACAGCTTAGCCTCAAGAGACGATATATTTAAATACTTATTTCGTATGACTTTTAGACGTAACCACCAAAAGAAAAGAACTTCACTATAAATGCAGCATTTTATACACATTTTATGGCAGTTTGGCAACACAACCTCAGTACATGTAACACCGGCTCCACACGTTGGCCCCAACGTTGGTACCAACGTTGGTCGGTTAAGTTGGTGAAGCGTCCACACGTTGTTTATTATACTAGTTCCTTTCTGTCAGAGCCAATGTGAAGATGTCCGACACCGAAACCGAAATTGCTCTAAGCGCTTTTACAGTACTGATGAGTGCGTATAATTTATATTTGTTATTGAAAAAAAAGAAAAAGCCACGTCAAAGGAGATGGTGGATGACAACGCATCATAAAACTAGGTACCAGTAAGTACAGACCATACACTCCATTCTAGCAGCTTTTTACAAGGCAATTTAATATTAAATTATCTAATAATGTGTATACAGTGTGTCCAAGATAAGAATGTCTATCATGAGGATCTTGGAAAACAAAAGTGATACGAAGATGGTTAAATTTCAAGCCTAACAATATGCCGTTTAGAAAGTTTTAAAATTCCGAGCTGTTCCGGAGGTATGCCTAAAAAACCAAAATTTGCCGATTTCGTTTTTATTTTTTTCTGACGTTATTTAAAGAGATATGGAAAAACAAAAGACACTTTCTTATGGCTACTTTTTAAGCTCTACAAAACAGCGTTGAGAGATTTTCCGCACGACGTTTCGTTTTGGAGAAACCATCATCAACTTTATTTTTTATATGGCGCGTAAAAAAGTATGCCCTGTATTAAATAGCATTTTTTAGGCATACCTCCGGAACAACTCGGAATTTTAAAACTTTCTAAACGCCATATTGTTAGGCTTGAAATTTAACCATCTTCATCACTTTTGTTTTCCAAGATCCACATGATAGACATCCTTATCTTGGACACACTGTATACACATTATTAGATAATTTAATATTAAATTGCCTTGTAAAAAGCTGTTAGAATGGAGTGTATGGTCTGTACTTACTGGTACCGAATATTATGATGCGTTGTCATCCACCATCTCCTTTGACGTGGCTTTTTCTTTTTTTCCAATAACAAATATAAATTATACGCACTCATCAGTACTGTAAAAGCGCTTAGAGCAATTTCGGTTTCTTTTATAATTCCTCAATAGAATAAATCATTTTCATATTCTGTTGAATATTGCGCCATGCATCGGCTACTAAATTTATGGTGCTTGCGAGAGGCGTTCCATATTATTGGATGCGCCTGGTATAACTCTAAAAATTCTACAACTTTTTCGTTTGTCCACGCGGGTAGCGATGTTGTTGATGACATATCTCCACATACGCACTCGACGCGTGTTACAACAAGACTGAGCCAGTGAGGCAATATGTGGACGGATTGCCAACGTTGGCGCAGATTCCTTTGATAAAACCGACGATCGACAGCCAACTGACAACGGTCGCTCCAACGTTGGGGTCAACGCTATTTTCTGGATACACACGTTGGGCGAGTGGCGTTGGAGCCAACGTTGGGGCCAACGTGTGGAGTCGGCGTAAAGCCGTCCATGAGCGTATCGCCAAATCAAGGACAGTTCACTCATTGATCGCTTTTTTATTTATGCGCCAGTGGTATTCCAAGAGCCGACCGCAAAGCTTTGGTTACATCGCGCACTGATATGGAATGTTAAAAACTAGTCAAATCTCACGTATTTTGATGCTAAGCTGCAAATTTGGCAAGTTTGATGTTTAGGATCAAACTACACCGTGGTATGTGACTAGTTTTTATCGTATAACAGTTGCATTTGCATTTGCTGTTCTTATTTTAGTCAGAGATAAATGAGGTGTTGCCATATATACCTAGTTGCCCAGACAAAGAATTCACGAAATCGTTAACTTAAAAAGATTACACTTAACATGAAAACCAACTCCTAGAATTAAGTTACCAAATTAAACAAAATACCCTATACCCAACACTACCGATTTAGATAATCTACCCCTATATATCCCCCAAACAGAGAACAGAAAACAAAAACACTAATAACCTAAGATAGACTTTGTGCCCTAAATGAGACATTTCGCCTTAAAAAGGATCTATAATTAAATGAAGCCATCCATACTCCCACTTTGTCAGATAATGTATTTTAAAATCCTATTTTAATGTTGTTATTGTTCTTTTCTTAGAAAATCACGTGTGTCTTTTTATTCCTAGTTTAAGTAGTACGTATTCATAAGCTAATCCATACGCGCGTACAAGGCTAGGCTTCTGCGGGTTTTCTACCATGTTTATTGTTCTAAAATATGTCATTTCTAGTTATCTGCTTATAGTTTGGACAATAAACATTATTATTATTATAGTTTCTTCACTGAATCAAAGCAGTTACGTCACAACGTCAAATAATGACATTCACGCACATGGCTGTCACATTAGTTAAAACTACTAGGTCCTAGGACGTTTTACTAAATCTACTTTACGTTTTCGATGTTTTGTAAACGCTAGAGCTAGTATAAATTCTATGTACTACCTAATACCTCTCTTACGGACTGTAAAGGCAATAATAGAGCTCCATGATCTCGTTCGGTCTCAAAATATTTCGTCAAAGAAATGACGAATTATTTTGCCTGTCGACCCAGAAGTTTCGGCATTTTAGCAAAATGCTCAAAAGGACACCTCAAAGTTTTGAAAAAAAAATGTTTTTTATAAAATAACAATGCAAATATTGAGGCAAAAAACGAAAATAAACCACAAATAAACAACAACCGTTGGCATAATTACCTGACAAGCTTTGCGACAATGTAACAACACAGAAAACTATTACCTACATAAATATACCTGGAAAATCCAAAGAATACTATTTAGGATCTATTTTTCATTAAGGTTGCATTCAAATTTACTAAATATGACGTAACTGCTTTGTTTCAGTGAACAAACTACAGGTAGATAATCCTTTTTGGATCAATTCATTGTCGATGAAAGCATTTCACGTTCAAATTTACTTTTGTGTAGATTTATTCATGGTGGGGCTATTTATTATCCGTTTGCAGTCTACGAAATAGGTTTTTCATTCAATAAAGTAAAAAATCACACTTTACGCAAGTGCTCTCCAGGTCATCCAAACAGAACAGCTATTCTCAAACCCTGTAAGTTGCCATGTGACAGCTATGTAGCTATTTCACATTTAGGACCCTACGCCGGATACTACACGATTTAGTTCAGAAACAAAATAGGAATGCCAGCTTCAAGGACAATTTTTTTACCTTAATTTGCTTATTTAACCAATCGTTGGTGCATGGTTGCCCGTTATCTAGGTAGCTTGCCCTTAAAACGATATGTTTACGTATGACTTTTTGACGTAACCACCAAAAACCGTGAAAATAACGATTCCAATCAGCCCAGTATAAATATATAGCGTTTTCTAAACATTCTATGTCAGTTTGGCAACATCACCTCGGAACATACAGAGTCACCTATGAGCGAAACGCGCGGATCCTTGGTAGAATATCAAGCCATCTATCGCGAATCGCCAAATCAAGCTCATAGATCGCTTTTTTGTAAACCCGTAATAGTCGAAGACCCGAATGCAAAGTCGGTCACATCGCGAACTGTTATTTTACAAACTAGCAAAATCATACATATTTTGATGGTAAACAGCAAACTCGGCAAATTTACAGTTTAGCATAAGAATGCGTAAGATTTTACTAGTTTTTATCGTATCATATATCAGTACGCCATACAACAAACAAAAAGATTGCTGTCAGCTTCCCTGCTATAATGCAAAGGAAATTTAAAGGCCATGTATGGAGCCGACCGACGGATTATAGACATTCGACGAAATGACTTCCCTTGATGTCGCTACTCTTTAGCAAAACATTGAATTGTGAAACAGCAAAAGCTAAACAAAATCTTAAAAACGGATTCTGTGATCCAGATTAATTTTTCCAATTAGACGAGGTTACATCATCACAGGATTGACATTAATAGCTATAAGAGTACATTCTTTTCTTTCCAATACCTATTGTTAAACTGTCTCTTTATTACTTAATTATAATTTTAAGTAAAAAATGTGTTTTATTTAGTCATCCACCAAGAAATTTCTGCCTATTAGAGACTGTCAGATTCAGCCATCAAAACAAATGATTGATATGATGTCTAGCTACGAGCCGTTTTGCTCTGGCCCATTGCAAACGTCCGTCCAGCAGACAGAAATTCGCCACTGGCGAGAAAGTATCTTGTAAAAGCGAAACATTTCCAAAGTGAGATATACTTTTTGGATCTAACATGGCATGTAAGTACATCGCGAGAAACCATGTCACTCGTTTTTGTTGGTTTGTCTGTACGCAAATACTTTGCCAGTCTATAACTTGTAAAGTACCTATACCGCTCGGATTTTTCTCACAAGATCATAGTAGTATGAGTAGTTTGACAAGGGCAAAAAAGCTTTATATTTTTTGAAATTCGGTCAAGTAGCGGCGGAGCTAGGGGCAAAAACCTCAAAAATAAAAACCGATCAAACTTTAATTTTGACTTTGGAGGCTCCTAATCGTTTCGGTTAAATTTTTGTAAGGATCTGAAGTTGTGGGGTTGGTAGAAGTTATATATCATAATTGCATTAGTATCTACACTCCTGCTCCCGGTTACTCTACGCACCTGTCGGACATGTTTCACATATCATAGCTTTCCCCATCCATTTTTCCTTACAACAGAATGACATATTTTCAACACACGCTTCTCCACTGGCGCTCCCACGGGTAATTACCCCCCCCCCCCCTCCAGACGACTCGAGGAGTCTTTGAAAAGGTGGTATAAAGTAATCGTCTTATAAAAAAATCTTTAACTTTAAGAAAGGATAGCGGCAACACTGCCAACCCACTCATTGCACATGCGACTACTCTCCCACTAACAGCAATGGTGAACACTTCTTCCTGTTGGAACAGGTATAGGCTAGTCTTGTACGGTCTAGTGTAATGTCTAAATTCTGTACCAGTCCGGAGACCGCAACAAAATTTGGCTGAGAAGTGAACAAGCGGAGTTTTGTTGATCTGGTTGGTATTAACGCTATTTTCTATGTTCTATTGATTTTTTATTTTCCATGCATAAGCCAGAAAATTATTTTTTGTTTGTTTTTAATTTTTATACTATAAAAGAATCGTGTCTGAAAAAATGACAGACGGAAAAATGGAATTTAATATAATTTCAATTACGAAGTGTTTGGTCCATACTCCAGTTATCATTATCATCTATGTATATTTTGTCTCGGAAGTCCCTGTATATAAGCACTTCAGTGCATTTCGTTCGTCCGGATTGAAAATTGCGCGAACTTAAGAAATCTTATTTTCCAAACAGAAAAGGTCCTTTGTTATGAGATACGTGAATGCGTAGAAACCAATAATGCCGTTTATTTGACAATATTTGTGTAAGTTTTAGTGCAGGTTGACGGCTGCTGTTGTCAGGATGAGTAAAAGGAAACAGAATACAATCGATTGGTTCCTTCCTAAACAAAACAAACTGCCTGATCCACCGGCACAAGAATTACCGGTAAAAACTGATGATAATCCTGCAATTCAACCTGAGCCTACCAATTCAAAATTTCTTGATGTTGCACGGTATGCTGAACCAAGTGTTAAACAATCGGGTGCGAAACCTAAAAGATCCAATTTTGTTGATGTTGCGCCATATGTAAATTTCAGCGGCAACTTGTCTTCCCATGAAAAATATACCTTATTGAGGTGTGCAATGATCCCTAATGACTCTTTCAAATATCCCTATTCCACACACTTGAAAAATAATGAAGAAGTGAAATGTTACTTATCAAAAAACACTTTGAGAAATTTTCTTGGCTGTCATATTCAGAGGAACTACAAGGGCGTTTCTGTAAATATTGCGTGGTTTTTGCAAAATTAGGATGAGTATATAAATCAACTAAATTATGAAAACTTATTACCGTACCACTAAAGAAATTTTCGAAACTGTATGGCAAAACCGGTGATTGTGAAACACATGAGAACTCAATATATGATACAGAATCAGTTTCAGATGATACAATTTTTAAAGATTTACGAAAATCCAGAGAATGATATAAGAAATATAATAGGTTCAGAGCGAATTAAGCAAGTATCAGAAAATCGGCAAAGATTGACTCCTATAATAGAATCTATAATTTTTTTAGGACTAATACGGTTTAGAGTCGAGAGCAGAACAATTTATTGAAAAAATCTCAAAGCGCATCCAAAATGAAATTATAGAATGTTGTGGCGAAGAAATCTTGGATATAGTTTTAAGTCGCGTCAGGCAAAGTCAGTATTACAGTATTATATTTGACGAAACTACAGACATTAGCCATAAATCACAAATGTCAATAGTATTGCGGTATTGTTATCAAAAAGATATTTACGAGGACTTCATAGGATTTGTGGATTGCTACTCAAATTTTGATGAAGATACAATGAAGCCCAAACTCACAGGTCAAATTCTTGCTCAAACAGTCAAGCATTTCATTAAAACCGATAACCTAGACTCATAACAATGTGTGGGCATTGGTACTCATACGTGTAACCTAATGTTAGGCGAACAAAAGGGCGCTGTAATGGAATTGTAAAAATGTTTGCCAAATGCTCTAGTAAGCCCATGCTCAAATCATACCTTGAATCTTTCGATTTCAAAAAGCAGCAGTGCCCAAGCAGTAAGAAATACTGTGGGTATAATGAAGTAATTGCGTTCTTCAAAGCATCCGCTAAAAGAAATACTGTATTAAAAAGAAAACTAGACGGATATCAAATTCAACGAAACACGATGGACCGAGAGACATGTTTATGTGCTCCAATTTGAAAGCAAATTCGCGAAAATTGTAGAGGTATTAAATATTATATCAAACTGGAAAGACCGCGAAGCTTCTTGAAAAGCGGAGTCTTTGAATACTGCCATTACTTCCACCCAATTTATCGTATCACTAAAATGTCTGTGTGATACATTAGCTTTAAAAGTCAACCTGAGTAAGATTTTACAATCGAAAACAATTGACAAACAATGCGCTGTCAAACTCATAGGAAATATTATTTCAGTTGTACAAGACGCGCAAATTCCGAAAAACACTTTAGAATACTATCCGCATCTAAAATGAAATCACATGAAACCCTGGCTATTGAACTGACTGTGCCAAGAATAACAAACAGGCAAATAAACAGACCGAACATAGTTACGTCTGAACCTATATGTCCCTTTGCTAGATAATATATTGCAGGATTCGGTATACCGGTTCAATGAAGAATCTTTGAAAATATACAATTTTAATATTTTCTTTGCATCAGTATATAATTCAAAAACTGAAGTAATGGACATATTTGCATGGACTAAATAGTAACGAAAACAAAAATTTAATAAGTACCAGATTAAAATCAGAATTTGACCTTTGGGAATCAGGTACACAAGATATTATAGACAGTGGAATGTCACTATTTATAATGTGATGAAAACATTTTTCCTTCAATTAATAGATGCCTACAATTATTGATGTCATTGCCGGTAGGTGTTGCGACATCTGAAAGAAGTTTCTCCCATCTAAAGAGAATAAGAACTTGGCTGCGCTCCACTATGTTACAAGAGCAATTAGTGCGTTTAGCTCCTTTGTATATGCATAGGGATATTAAAATAGACGTGAATACAATCATAGATCGGTTCGCCAGCAAAAATAATAGGCGCCTTGATTTTGTAATACGATAACACCTGAACTTTGCCTAAGGTTGACTCTGAAATCCATCTCCTTTCTGTTGGCCAAATAAAAAAGCAGATGTAGGATTTACTCACGTTTAAACCTTCACGGTGATCTTTTCCAAAGTATCCAATCAAGATATGTGGATTTATTTATTGGCTAGCAGATTGATATAAAAGTCTGTTCAAATTCTGCTCAAATCACTTCCTAAGCTAATGTAATGATTGTTTTATTTTGAGACTGTGAACTGATGTAGTTTCATAGTTTGTTTTTGTTTTTTGAGACTGGCTGAGAGAATGTAGTTATGCACTGAATATTTTTGTATTTTTCTCATGATTAAGAATTTTATTTTGATTTACATTCAGTTTTATACTTTATAGAAGTCGTAACATATTTGTTATTGTTATTTTTTTCATGAAGATGTATTTTTTGTTGTTTTGTCTGACATCGTTATGTAGAAAAGTCTGTGATAGATTATATTATTTTACATTTTTGTTTTAATATATGAAGATTGCTCGAGCTTGGTTTGCCTTATTGACACTTTGATTTCGTAAGATTCAAAATCAAAAAAAATTGTAAGTTTTCTACAGAAATTGCTGTAACAAATTCATATGTCTGCATATGTCCATGCTTTTAATGTTGATTCATTATAACACTTCAATACGTAACATTGAGAATTTACTTTCCCTTTTACTCCTCCCAGACTGAAATCCTCGGAGCGCCATTGCGCTTCTCTGATGGATATATCTGCGTCGTCATCTGACTGATGACTGCCTATGTTTCGTAGCCGTGGGTGGGGACTATGTATGGCCCAATTGTATAGTCCTGTTTGACTGACTGGATTCATTTAATTTCTTGTTATACATGTTCGTAGCTAATATTTTCCTCAGAGGAGCTAATTTGTCACTGAGGACACTGAAGAGTCGACGCATTTTTTTATTTAAATGGATTTTGTTGCCCTGTAAAATCGGATAATTATAGGATTACAGACGTACATACTCGCATCACACACTAATCAAGATTGGGTGTCAGCAAACCAAACACATACAGGGTGTCCTGCTATAAATTGAGCGCACTTCTTTTTTGTATAATCGTATAGAAAAAACGTTTTATACATAGGTTGTAGGATCTAATATAAAGTTTTACGAGCAATATTTTTTATATATGCAGTTGTAAAGTTGTATTTTTTCAAATGAAACATGATAGCCGCTTTTGTTTGTTCCAAATATTGTATAATTATATGGTTCATCATACTTATTTTATTTACATACTCAGTTTGATCAAAAACTTAAATTTTGTGTGTAATTAATTCATGTGTATCATAATTCAAAAAAGTTTGCGTCTAGCCGCCTATGCAATCTGACATAGTGCCGGATACATATGATTACACAAACTTTGAGTCAGTTTATAGTGGGACAGCTCGTACAGTAAGTGTTATTTAAGCTGCGAATTTGACATTATTTCTAGTGACAAAAATGGATCTGGGATGTGAGCTAAACCAGGATTTTAATAGATTTCTTGGATCGCCAAAACCGCATCCGGGGCCCTTTTAGTATTTCGATTATTATAAGATAAATCTAAGAAAAACCGCGAGCATCTGTAAGCTGGATGAAAACTCGTTTCCTCTGTAAGAATCGAATTGATAGATTCCGAATCCGACCTCAATTTCTCACTCCAAATTCGGTCCTACGACGACTTTTCCACAGTAAAGCTCAGCGTACCAAATAACATCGTTGTCTGATGCATTCTACGTGATCAACGTAATGCCATATTCGGTCGTTCAAAAACTATTCAATGAGATACCGCAGCGCCATCTATGAGAACTTGTTTCTTCTTTTACTATATATACTTTGAAATTTTTTTGTCTTATAGATGGGGCTGTCTATATGAGCATACAGTTTTTTACACCGAAGCAGCCGCGCAGACAGAAGCCTAAATGCCAGGACACCGCGGCTATGAGGTTCCCAAAGAAACTTTGTTAATAATAGTTTGTCAAATTTTTGATCTGCCTAAGGTTCTCGACACCCTAGAGACAAAAGAGCGGTCGTATCCGTCAGTTCTGGATGTACGAAGTTCGACACGGTTAGGATGGGAGGCCGAAGTCAGGCGGGTCTGTGTGGCAGGCACATCGCGCAGCAGCATCATGGAGAGCTCTGAGGAGCAAAGGCCGTTGGTGTAGAGAGCCAGATCGCCGACGGCCCGAAAGGGTCCAAGACTGTTAGAGACACCCCCCCCCCCACTCCGCTAGACAGCATCGAGCATGAATAATGTAGTCGGAGCGGCAGCACCCCAAACGTGTGAGCAATTCTCGAAGCTAGGTCTTATCTGGGCTTTGTATAGTGAGGAGGTCATGAGGTCATGTGGAGAAAAGTACTTCTTAGCCCTAAACAAATTGGCTAGCTTGTTCCCAGCAAATGTCGTTATTGACGAGATGTATTCGTGCCAGATCAAGTCCACGGTGAACCGCAGGGGTATTATGTAAAAAGCGTCAAAAATACCGACGAAATGTCATGTTGCAGACTAGATAGTTTTTAGAATGTAAATTGTTCATTCCACGTTTGCTCGCTGTGATCGCTGTTCGCCGACGATTAAGCTGTTCGTACAGCTACAAAACAAGTTCACAATAAGTGTACAACAGCTTGTGCTAAGTTAACATCTTGTAGAAAAACCTACGTTATATCGTAGAAAAATCTACGTTATATCACAAAAAAACCTACGAAATGTAAAAAAAACGACAAAATATCACTTTTCAAGATGTGTACTACCCGTGCCGGGCTCCTACCAGCAAGGTGAATGTTTTGGAAGCATTGAACTGTACAAGATTGTTACGTCCCCAAGCAGTGATAACCTGCAGGTCTCTCGTCAAAGAGCAAGTCGCTGCTAGTCTTCTTTTTTCCAGCTCAATTCCGTCTTGTAGAGAGTTGTCCCCAACAAAGCATTGGATTGATCATACAGCAAAGGAAGTACTTGAAATGTAAAAGAAACATTGTCGGAGCTAAGACCGATCCCTGGAGCACACTGCGTCGACATTGTAGGATGAAGAGGATAACCCGTCAATTGTGGCCAGAGAGTGAAATTGCCACCCTGGGAGGTCATAGGATGGAAGTTTGCATAAGAAGACAGCGTACCACAGTTGATCGAACGCTTTCGTGATATCAAGAACAACGAAATGAGCCTCACTATCAGAATGAATGAGTTTACCCCACAATTGTGTGACGTAAGCTACTAGGTCCCCTGTGGATCGCTAGTGCCGAAAACCATAGTGCCCGTCGCTAATCAAGCCGTGACGTTCGAGGTAGTCCAGAAGCTCGCAATGTATGCACCTGTCCAGCGCTGGCCAATGTCGTTTTTTCTTTTAGATTTCCATGTGTACGAGAGAGACGCGAAAAAGAGTGCGGCATATAAGCGTCGTCACCACGTTGCCTTGCAACGACAGTGTAAGAGGGCGCGGCTGTAACTCATCGTCCACTCTCGTTGCCAGGCAACACGGTGATAATACTTATATGGCGCACACTTTTTTACATGCTTCCTCTCTCGTACTCATTGAATTCTAAAAGGGCAAACAAATTTAGCCAACAGCTGTAGGCGACTACAGCGCCATCTATGAGACACTAACGTTTTCAGAGTATATATAGTACATAGAAAAACAACTGCGACAAATTCTCATAGGCGACGCTACGGTATCTCATTTTATCTTTAATTTTCTGCACGCGCGAATATAGCCTTCGATTGGATATCTTCAGGTATAATACGTTAATCAGTTCTTGTATCTAGCAAAAAAACGCAAGATGAATTTCACTCACGTTTGCTCAAACAGCCCAATGAAAATATATTACGTTTTCATGAATATTCTTTATTATGGCACATTTACATAACAATTAAAAGGCATAATAAAGGGATATATTCTGAGGCTTTAACGCTAATATTCTGCCTACATGAATCTCTTACAATGTACATAAACGTATCTATATATTTATTATTTGTACCTTTTATCAATCATAATTCATTTTTGTTTTCTCAAATATTGTTCATGACATAATTAAACACTTAATTCTGAGTTTCTGGACTCAGTACTACAAAACTACATATTATTCAAAAATATGGTCAGCAACCTAGACTGAGATATCTACATATTCAAATGCCTGAGTGAAATACTTTAAATGAAAAAAGAAATGCATAAAATAATTGTTCAAGGTGAGCTACTTATAAATGAAATTTTAAAAAATCTTCATAAAAAATAGGATGTTAAAAAAACTAATGCATATATTGTTTCCCAGATTTAAAGGACAATATTTTAAATTGATGCTACCAAACAGGTATCATGTGATTTAAAATGACTGAATTTATGAAAAATAAACTTCACGACATTATGTAAAACATTTAGGGCAAGGAATATACTAAAAAAATAATTAGTGACCAGAAACATTGGCTTGTTTGCAATGCAGACCAGGAATGAAGTTTATCGGATTGGTTTGACTGACATTATGTCAACCTTAGCGTCCCTTTTAATAATATAGAAGCTTCTTATAAAACTAATTTTTGGGTCCAAAATGAAAATGTTATAACAAATTTTTTAGAAAACTTGAGATCTGGTCACAATAAAAGCAAGCCACATCCAAAACTTCATAGAACAAACTGCTTTCTATTAACAACGAACATATATATCTCTCTTAAGTTTAAATAAAATGAATGGTTTTTCGACACGAAACATTTATTGGAATATTGAGTCGAGTGTCAAAATGATTCAAATTATACGTAAAATTAAAACATGCAAGCATCATGAAAGATTTCTTAACATTATTGCGATTGATGTTGACTGATATCTAAGTCGTCTACAGATGGAGTTCTATATGCTACATGTTTATTGAAACTGGAAACTTACAAACATTCTTTGATGAAATAATCTATTTTTCACGATATCCCATTACGTTTTGACGTCCATTAAGCTGATCAGCAAGTGACACCTGGGTGTCAAATTTGAATGATTTGCTATAACGAATCTGACAAAAATCAGGAACGTAGTTAGATCAAATACCGAAGAAAATTTATTTTCACATATTTTTACTAACTGGGAATTTTGACAATAAAATATACGAATTACACCAAATCACATACATGCGTTGTTAGGTTAGGTATCTAGGCTTTCCGCAAAAAATGTTTAGATGGATTTTACGACAGAAACACATTCTTGAGAGTAAATGAAAAGGTTTATCATGTGGTGATAAAAAAAATGCAAGATAAATTTCTTATTAACTGTCAAGGTTTTAACATATATTTAAAAAAAAATTCAAGAATCAGTGAAGCTGCTTCAGAGGAAACATCAAAATACCTTCAAAATGAGTCCTTATAAACCGCTTATTTTTAAATTAATATTTTCCCAAAGCAACAACAGAAAATATTAAATTATAGGTAATACTTATCCTTGTGATTACTCAGAAAAAATGTCATCAATAATGCTCAACATTTTCTGAACATGTATAATTCAAACTAAATGTGTCTAGCGGCGTAGCCGCTGCAGTATATTGAACATATTATGATATCACATTTTAAAGGTCGTTTCATCCTCTACCATTCTTCTTTAGACCACCCGGACAAATAGTCAATAGTTTGCTGAATATATGCGAAATAGTGATTTACCCAGCATGTATTCAATGAAAAAGTAACTCAACAAGATTTTTTTGCCTCTAGAGTCTAGACGAATACACCTTCAACAAAAACTTCGTTGTAAAATCCATCTATTCATTTTTTTCTAAAACAGCCCGATAGATAGCCTATCCTAAGTATGAAAAAAAAACAAAAAAACGGGCACACCCTCTTAATAAGGCACTGTTTATACATCTGTCAGAGTTGTATGTCGCTTGACGATATGAATGTCACTAGATAATTATCTGTTATTTGTTTGTAAATTTAATCCTGATAAAGTATCGTGAAAAATGTTATTTCTAAAACGTTATAGTAATGTAGCATGGTGAGAAAAATGCCAACATGGTAAGTTGTACTAAGGACGCCATGCACTGAACAACTGGATTAATGAAATGATGGTACAACTCGAATCTGAGGTATATTTGTCTCACTAACACTTAAAATCTAACTAATGAAGGTTAGAAAACATTAAAACAATAGAAAGTACTATTTTATAAAGGTGGTTATCAATGCTTGATAAAATTCAGTTTCTGCTAATGTTACAACAATTGATTAACATATTCTACCTAAAGGTAGCCAACCTAATACTATATTGGGGCGCCCGAAAAATTACCCGACATGTAAAGAGATACCATAGTATCATATATGTGAATTTGTCACATATTTTTCCTCTCCACAATAATTACTAATCTACTTTTAAAATGTTAGTATCTCGTAGATGACGCTACAGTCCAACTATATATGAGTATACAGCTACCGCGCCATTAGCAAGACACCAACCTTTTCAAAGTAGATTCCTAATTACTGCGGATAGAAGAAAGATGGCTGTGACAAATTCTTATAGATGACACTCCATTATCTTATTTCATCTCAGATAATTTTTCGGTTGCGCAATAGTATTATAATATCTTAAGGTAGAATAACGTTAATGCTTCAACTCAAAAACGACGACGGAATTCAATAGAGTAACAACTCATGTAATCATGAAGATATCTTGCTTTACAGTTACTGTTATATGCTTGAAATACTCTTTTAGATAAAAAAACTATAATCTCCCACTTTTTACAGGTATCTCATCACCATTTTTAATTTATTCATAATACATTTTAGCTGGAGAACAAACTTTTATTTCCACAATTTCCCCCTCTCCTTCAGGGTAGTTAGAGAAAAGTGGGCAAAAAGTAGTTCCAAAAGTAACAAGTTGCTGTAGAAATGACAGCAGACTTTTGGTCATTTCTGATGATTTAAAAATAGGTAAATGGATCTGATCCCTTTTGAGGACGAGAAAGGGGGCTTCAAGTATAGTCGTTATTGTTATTGTAGCCTGGCGGGGACTTTGAATGAAATGATATTGTGAAAATAGATTATCGATGTAAAATCTGAAATTTTTCATGTTGTTTTCATGTAGATAACAGAGATTATCCATAATTATTATTCCAACATGTATCAAAATGCCTAAAATATAAGCCTAAATGATTGTTGAGCCCCTTACTCTGCTGAAAGACTTTTATTTTCAGAATTCTTATGATAGTGCCAGGATTGAAAGATATTCTAATTGTGATCCACAAGAGCATGCATCAAAAACGCAAGTTCAAAACAGACATGTTGACAAAGAACAATGCTTTTTACAAAGTTAGAACTTGGAAAATAAGAATATCCACATATAAATCTAGCAATTTATTTGATATTACACTTCTGTAGAAAATGCAAAAAGAACTATAATATTCATTGCACAAAATACAACGTTAAAGGCACTGAAGCATAAAAATGGGAGTACTAATCATGAATTCGAACAACTGAAATATTGAACAAACTTGAAACACTTACTTTCATCATGTGCAGAGAATGTAGAAAGTTTGCACTAAGTTTGTAAAGCTTTTCATATATGACAAAATCAGAGGTTAACTGTCAGCAAGACCATCTTGGAACAACCACTTGCAGCCATGAAAGGGCAGAAATTTTAGAGGTTTATGATCACATTAGGACGTTGCCAAATTAGGACTAGAACCTTTGAAACTCCGCTAAAAATATACAGTCTGATAAACCCACTGACACAACTTCTAGCCCCAGTTCTAGTATTTTCTCTGTAATAACGCTACTGAAATGTCCGCATAGCGAAATACAGAGTTTTGAAATTATAATTCCGAAATTGCAGATTTAAAACTTACAGAAAGAAAAAGAAACAGGTTTTCTATGCCGACTGACTTTTCATCAAATGCATTTTTGGATGAGGTTTTGCATTTTACGTAAATTATCTCCATTGAGAAATGTTTGTATTTTCAGAGAAAAACTGGATTGAACATTAGGGTATAATCCATGAAAAAACTTGAATTCATCCTACTTTGAATGTTTGTAATGACATTAAAAATTGTAGATAGAATTATTTAGAGATAATGTCTTATCCTTAACCAGTCTCAACAGTGGCGTAGATATTTTCAACACCCTGTATCTTGATAAAACAGATATTTCAGCACATATCTTTATAGGAACTCTTAATTCCTTTTCTATACGTACTCTCTGCCACTATTTCTTGAATAATCCTGATGAAACAGTTGCTCTCCAGCAAAAATGGAACTTATGATTTCATACAGAACGCTCCATGTTGCACAAAAGACAACTCTGGCTCTTAAGGCAAGAAATAGTTTGCGCAGGCTATCTATTGGACACCCTGTCAACTACATTTGCAAGAAGCAGACTGCAACAGATAACACCTGTATAAAAATTGACAAGTAATGTCGAAAATGCGGTTTTATCATATACCAAGGTAAAGGCACTCAATATAAATATTGCTACCTATTGATTAGAGTTTGGACAATATTTCTTTAAATCGTTTCGAAATTGCTCAATACTGGTGGATTTATAGAACATATTAAGTCATAGTCATAACTATTGACATAAGCATAAGATTTAAAATGCGCATTTCTTATGAACGCGTTTATACGTGTTATAAACATGGTCATAAGCATAGGCCTTTGTCATAATCATAACAGGGTTGACATTGAAGCTCATAATGATTATGACTTATATATGCATAACTCATGCAAATACTGTATAAACCAACTTTAACAAAGTAACAGTTTCAAAATATATGCCATTGATGTAAGTTGTACTTAACACATATGGGTAAATATCTAATCATCTACAGAATTATGTAATTTCCAACTTACATAAAATCTATCAAGTTACACGGTGACGTATTTTTGATACCAACTTTCTTTTATCAACTTCCCATGAGAATAGTCCAATCGCAGAATCACAATATTGAATGTACCTGGTAAGCGTCACTTTGCGTAAATAAACTTTAAGAATTGAGATATAAGAGCATGGCGAGAAATATCCAGGATATAAATGCCGAAAGGCTCTCAAATCTACTATTCAAGAAATTCCGGAAATTTCGTTTCCAAAAACAATGGCTGCGTACATTCTAGATCTAAATTGGTCCACCACCTCAGAATTTTTTTGGTTTGCCAAAGGAAAAATTTGCAACTGTTTCTGCTTGATGCGACAAGAACACGTTGACTAATTCAACCCTGAATTTGAAAATATTTATAATCATATCGAATGATCAAAATAAGATAGCACATAGTGCCATGTATTACCAGAATCGATTCTGGTAAAAGATGGCACTATGAACTGTCTTATTTCGATACACCCTATACCCTAAATAGAGGTTAGTTGCTCAGGTTTCATTGTTACTGATGAAACAGCTGTCCATGGTTGGCTGGACAAAAGCTACACTGCTAGTTTATATCAAAAAAATTTGTTCAAAAGCGAACAAATACTTTTTGGTGAACCGAGTTCTACCGTAGTGGACCAATTTTGCTTCAGACACGTAAGTAGCAAATTATCATTAAATGGACCTTGGCTGATCAATGTCGCAAAACGTTAGGACAGGAACTGTCCTAAGTGTTAACTTTTATATTTTATAAAGGGATGAAGTGTGGGGTACTGATATAAATGGTGTGCAGAATGTTATAGGGGATTAAGGGTAGCATTTATAAACGTTCCTTGTGGATTCAGTGCCGTTTCAGGAATGATTTCTCTTTATCTTTTTAAAATTTTCTAAATTTACATTTTCAGGATTGCCAGATTTTCTAGTTTTTTGATATTTTGGAAATATTGAAAGTCTTGAATATTTTGAATATGTTGAAAGTATTAAAGATTCTGGAATTGTTGTTAATAAAAAAATTGATATTTTTGAACATTTTGGAAATGTCAAAAACGTGCAAATTTCTAATATCTTGAATATTTCCCAAAATATGAACATCCCTCAAGGAATCGTTGTTTGTTTGAAATCCAAGGATAGATCGTTCCTCAAACGGCACCCAAATCTCAAGAAACGCCTATAAATGTGACCCTAAAATACCTTCAAAATGAGTTCAAGCTGCTGCAAAAATCGTGTATATTCAATACTTCATCGCAAAATATCCAGTGACGTAACGATTGGATATATATAAGTTATTTTGAAGGTATCTTCTACTACCGTTGTGCGGACGACTTACACCAACACTTGACTACTTTTTTAACATGCAGTTAATTCATCTTGTACAATATATTACCATAAACAGTATACAATTTGAGCTTAACAATGAATATACAACGCGTTGATGAAGTACCTGTTCAAACTAGGGTGATTGGGTAATTACAAATCAAGTTCATGTAAACTGAGCTCCGTTTTAAACACAAAGGAAACATGTTTTTTTTTTAAAACCTCTTTTCTAAAAAAAATTTCTTAAAGTTTGATTGAATGCAGTATGTATTAGTAGACGATTTGAAGAAAAATTCGCAACAATCGTTAAAGAAAAACGATTTTTAAAACCATTGAAATGGCCATCTGGATGACCAGATTTAAATCCGTTAATTTTTTTCGCTTTGGGGCTGTGGATTTTACTGATGCGCTTTTTTATTCGATATTATCTAAATTATGGGCAATACGCCTGTATCTTCTAAATATCATATTTTAAGAGAATTAGCTACAGAGTTATTAGTATTAGGATGTTTACGACAAATAGTCCATGAAGTATCTTCGCATCCGCATTTTGTTAATGGATGTTTGAAGAATATTAGGAACTTTGGCAACATTCAAATTTTTCTTTTTCCATACAGTTTTTCGGCGTCTAAAATGGCACTTTTTACAAATATTAATTCGGTTAACTCTCGATATCCAGAAAACAATGAACTTTAGAGAATAGTTCATATGAACCTTTTTTGTTCAGAATAACCCAAAAAATCAAAAAAAATGCCCGAGCGAAAAGAACAAATTTTGGAATTCGTTTAAAGAAATGTTTTTAGAGCATGGCAACATGCTGATTCATGGAAAATGGTCCTTTTGAATAATATGCATAAAAACAAAAAAAAAATTTCCGAGAAGACGGATTTTCAAAAAAAAAACGTGGACGAACAAATCATTTCTGGACTTATGTCTATTCAAAAGTTTTTTTTTCTTAAAATGACCCAGGGACTCAACACATCAAGTTTGACAAGGCACATTCTTATCAAGATCATGTATGAAGGGCTCGGTACTGTGTGCCCAGGTGCGCGATTATTCAAAGTCCCTCTTTACTAAATTTCTCGTCGCTGGGCTAGCAGTCCCAAGTCCAGGGCAGATCCTTATATGGCTAATTGAATAATGCTCACAGTAACACACTGCACACCACCTAAAACCCTACTTAGCCGCCCTTTTCAGCACCATCACCCACCCACCACCATCCTGCGCGACAACATCTAATGAGAACATCGCCTCGTCGTGCACGTGTCGCAACACGTCATCTGTCAACCGCACGTGGATAGCGTGAGGGCCTTCGACGTACACATCGCGCACTCTGTCGGCCGTTACACCGGCTATGGCAATTAGTTGCGCGAGCAGTTCGCAACTGCTGTGTTGGCGTAAGAAGATTGCTGTGTAGACGGTCGAATCGCCTAGACAGATGTAGAGTTTCAGCTTAGGGGCGATTGTCCTGAAAGAGAAAAAGTTTTACAATACATGTATTTTCCAATTTCATATCGTTTCATCTAAGTTCAATTCTTAGGCGTTGACACTGCGTGGAATAAACTACTCTTACCATGAATAGATGTCCAAACAAAAGGAAATTGAACAAAAAATACTAAAGTTTTTTAAAACAAGTGATGTATAATGAATTCATCCAGAAAGGATTACACAGGCCAACATGATTTTTACCCAGAACCGAAGATTTTTATGCGCTGAATCCGAATCTGTGCCCACCCACATCTCTCAATTGCCTCTAGTTTTCTAAATATCCTAACCTCAAATCGCAAAAATAGCGATTGAAGTCTATTTTTTAGGTAATGTAGCATAACACTTTTTACAATACTTCAAATGCTGTTTAGTTTGCTTAAATATCGTTGATTTGCCAAGATATGGCACATTAAAAATTTCATTTTTCTGAATTTCATTGTAAACACGAAAAATATGATAAGATATTTTTATGAAATAAGACCTAAAATGCGCTGTCTCATTTTGAATAAGATCTGTCAACTGGAAAAGCCATAAATCCTCAACACTGAATCCATAAAATATCTAAAACTTACACAAATCACAACTCAACAACTGAACCTACTCTATCAAGATCGAATTTAATGTTCTTACCTATTGCACACTTTTTTCAGATCAGAAAAATTAAGATTTTAAAATGCAATATCTCAGCGAAAGGAAACATATTCAAGCAATCTTAACGGCCTTTGAAAGTACAAGACTTGTACTTTGAGATATCTATGATTTTTAAGAAAATAATTCTTCATGCTACATAATCTCAGATATAGACAAAAATCACTATTTTTGCACTTTTAGGTTAGGATATTTCGGATACTATATCAATCGAGAGATTTGGACCATGGATTCGGATTCAACGCACAAAAAACTTCGGTGAAGTATACTCTAGTTTCTGGGTAAGAGGATCCGCCTGTGTTACCTGGAACACCGCATTTATCTCTCCCCAAATAACAACTCGTGGTTAGACGTTAGGCTGTTTTGTGGACGCCATATTTTTTGTTTTGATAGTCCCTTATTTGCCTTAAGATTATTAACGTCACAAAAATTAATGACAGACCAGAAGGAGAATGGGCAAAAATACATAGGTTCTGGTACCCAATAGCAATAAATCATATATAAATTAAAAAGCCTTTACAATTAGAACAAGAGCTGTTTTTTTTTCAAATTCGTTATCAGATCGTTCAAAAGAATTTCAACCAAATTATGGATATAGGGTTATTATCCGCCTATCTGACAGTGACCTTGAATTCGCCATTGACTTCCACCTACGAGCTCATTTTAAGGTAGAGTCCATTTTTTCGAACGAGACCCTATGTTTTTGACCCTAGAACTGCATACAGTACTTTTCGTGTGATGAATACTCAGTCACCAAAAAATTCATGGTCATGATCCAAGTATCTAATCAATAAAATATCCTTGAAAGCCATCAGTCTTACAGAAAATCTACCCATGCATAGGCTTAATATTCTTCCCTGGTTATTAGTCAGTGACCTTGACTTTGATCCTGAAGGTCGTTTCAAGGTCATATCAGTTTTTTAAAAAGAGGTTTTTCTAGACTTTCCGCTTTATCCATTTCCGATGTCAAAATAGGTTCTCATTCTAAAAGAACGTAGTTGACCTTGAAGGTCGAGTAAAATAAATATTTCTTACGGATACTGAAGTCATACGACATCGCCATAAATGGTAGCCCGATAAGGGAGGGTTTTAAATCAAGTTTCTTTTTTTTTATACTCCAACTACCACGAAGGCCTAAGGCCTAAGCACCCATTGGGTACCGTGGGGCCATAGGGGGATACATGGGAAAGGGGGAACGCCACACGGACTCTGGCGAGGGAACACGTGTGCATGCAACATGCACACATTCTAGCTCCGCCTACGAGATCCGCCGGGTGGTACCTCCGCGTTCGACAGTTAGAGACCGTCTACCACCTACGGACAATTACAACATCCATAGCCAAGAGAAAAATTTCTCCTGGGACGGGACTCGAACCCGCACAGCGCACGGCGACTGATCAGGAGACCGAAGAGTCTACTACTGCGGCCACCGCTGCTGCCCAGATTAATGGCAGGGCTTTAGAGCAATTTACGTATTTAGGGTGCACTCTGACCTATAAGTTAAGAGAAGACGTTGAAATCAATGAAAGAATCAAGTCTTTGAAAAGAGAGTAGTACTTACTTGGAATGGAGTGCATTATGCAACCTGATCCCATCCGCGTCCCCGCAGATCTGGAGGAGATCTTCGCGCGACATACGCAGCATGTCGTCGCCCGAGAATCTCTCGAATGTTTCGACGTATTTCTCGAATCTGTTCGCAGACAGCCACTGGATCGTGTCGTCTGGCGTGGAATTCTGGGACAGCTGGTTTGGCTGAACAGCCTGCAAATTGATAAATGAATATGTAAGAAAATGAAGTAGGGTAAATTGTCTCTGTGCTTCAAAATATACAAGATACCAAAATGTCAATATTTGTATTGATATTTGAAAGTGTTGTTAACATTATCTAAACATTTTAGAAACGAATCCAAAACATTGATGTACTCACACTAGACACCACTGTATCATTTCGTTCCACAAAAGGCTTGACCACCGGTGCTTGTATGATGTGGGAAGCCAGTTGATTTCCAGTAATTCCATTTTCTATTTTTGCAAGCTGATTGCTAACCTGAGGCGTACTATGGAAAAACATAGAAATACTATTACAATTTGTAAAATATCGATAAGTGAATCTAAAGTTATGGTAAAGGTTCATTTTTGGTTATTACCAATTTACATTTATGCTCTGTGTTACAATTTGAGATATTTCACAGAAGCTCTATTGTTTTCTCCGGTAATACGTATCATATTGTAAAAAGCGTATGGTTTTCCATATATACACCATATAATGATTTGAATTATAACGGTTAAAACGTAACACGTTTTTTTAAAAAAAACATGTTACATAATAAATTTTTTTTAATCCACCTATACCATTTTCTATCATATTCTTTGAGGAAACTTGTAAACCAGTAAAACTAATGTGCTTTCCGTAATCAGCAATATCATCTCCTCAAGTTAGTTTTTTATTAAAATTAATAAAATAGTAAATTATAGATAGAAATTCAATGCGTCTGTTGAAGAAAAACACAGCAATTCAATAACAATCCAGATATAACTAGTTAGTAATTAATTTCCACCATAATATGTACGGAAACTAACTAGTAAATACTAAAATTAGGTTACCTAATTAGACTCAGGTGTTTAAAATGTTATTTCATCTTTCCAAGTACTACCACAGCATATACAATACTGAACAGCAACGCACCTCCCGACGATATGAAGGGGTTCACGATCCATGCAAAGCATTCTGGCCAATGAGAACGGACTATTCAACATGCGTGACATCTCGAAACGTCTTCAAGGTCATACAAATTCGATAAAAATTGAGCCCAGCGTTGTTGTATAGTAATGTATATGTTGTGCTAGTATGGTGCTACAAAATAAGAATAATACAAACAAACGTAACAAAGATTTTTATATTTCGTCATATGAAATCAACTTTGAATAAATTACTGACAGTGAACACCTACATTTGTACGGCCCTCAGGTGATGCTTAACCCGATGCCTGCCATCTATGACCCTCTTCATGGTCTGCTTAAGGTCCGCGCACGCCTTCTGGCTCCTTCCACCAGTGTCCCTCCCGCTAGGTAGGCGTGGCCTAGCTCTGACACGTCTACCCAGCAATCGGCTGACAACCAGATCGGAGGTGAGGGCGTGAATGAATTGAGCTTGAATCTCGCGGTCGCAGTCGTCTATGGTCATCGTGTGGATTAAGAGGAAGCGGTACGATTGCTGTACCATCTTGTAAGCTTCGTCTGGTAGTATTACGTCAAATCCTCTATGAGAAGAATGGGCCAGATTGATATGGAGGTACCTTCATTGGCGTTTCAAGGTGCCGTTCCGCGCTGCAACAACGACGTAGCCAAGGCTAAGAACGATTCGTGAAACCAGTGACACAGCAGTGATACAGAAAATCTGACACTGTCGCTTTGAAATTCTCTACACTGAGAAACAAACTTGTCTGACGGATTGAATTCAATGTGTACAAGAGATAACTGTGTATATACACATGTTAGAAAGAGATAGAAGCCGGCGCAGGCTGGATAGCGAAGCTCATCACTGCGTTGGCAAACAACGCTGACGCGGCAATCTGCCGCGTTGCCATTATGTTACAACAATTGAACTAAGATGCATGTTGAAAATATGCGTTAGTTTATTCGCTACATCCAAATAATGGTTTTATTTTGAGCGTACACATTATTGAATTGTGCATTATGTCGAATATGTTTACGATCGATTCCGGATAGGTCCTAACGGCGATCCATTTTAGGCCGAAATTAAAAGTCAGGATCGCCACAAATTCTGCAACATTGCATCATTTGTTGGCTTGGCAACACCGCATCTCGTACATTCCAATGCAAGGTTTCCACCTCCATGATGATAGATGAGCGATTTTGGTCAGTACCCATCTAGCGCTCGCTGCCGCAAAATGTAACAATAACTCGGGGTGTGTTGATTTTATCATCATCGGTAGAAATCAAAGATAATTCTAAAATAAATTAAAACACTAAGTCGTATCAAAATTGTAATAACTAATTCCGATCAAAATGAAAACAAAATACATATTAAATTAAATGTTCGAACACACCTCCTTCTCGGGTTTGACAGTAACCTCCTAACCTATTGTAGACGCCTGTGCGAACATTTTCTGGCGCATACTGGCAACCGGCAGATTGTACGACCTTCTGGGTCACCGTCGCTAGACTATGTGTGACCTGCGCTCTTCAGCCGGCTTCTATCTCTTTCTGACATGTGTTGATACACACTTATCGCGTTTTCCCTGTATAATCCAAATGTAAAATTGCTTAACAGTTGCTTCACAGTATAAGTGTGACAATTGGTAGGTTAGGTTTTTTGTGAGTGGTTCAATCGCGACTCATTGGTTTATTGTAGTTCACACCTATTTATATTCCTCACAGTAGCTCCGACCTCCTAAGTACACCAATTGGCTTATTTGGAGAAATATCTTTCAGGTCTCCCACTTGGAGCAAACTACTCTACTACTACTGTATTGTGCCTGACTCTGGCAAATGTAGGGCTGCACAAAACGTGATCAACCCCCCAATGCACAGTATGCAGTCAGCATCTTGTGATATCCCAACATTTTTCACTGTGAGTGGTGACGCAATCTGAAATCATTGGTGTACTATCCCACTAAGCTTTTAAGGATGTTCTCATTTACCCGCAGCAGTGTATGTTACCTTCTTTGTTAAAATTGTTATGGTGTACGGTTGACTTACAATTAGTTGACCCCGTTAATCCCTCCCAGTGTGGATGGACCTTTCTGTCCATCTGTACAGAGATTGTTTGATTAGGCGTATTGTACACAATCCTGGCTCAGGCCCTATGAAGGGCATATTGGCTGGTTTCATTTTCCCTCAAACCTGTGTATCCTGGTATACATATGAGAAGGACCTCACTTCTATCCACTATGCTACCAAGAGCTTCAATGATGTTTTCTGCATCAGTGCTGTGCCACTCTACTTGTAAATCGGTCCCAGCCTTGGTCGTGGCGTGAAACGGCACATTTACCCAATATATTATCACGAGTCAACCTTTCAGATTACGTGTAATCTATCGGTTGGAATGTCAATGACGGTACGTTATAGCCCTGTTCGTACAACTGTCACCAACCTGTCAGTGATCGTGTCCAAGATCCCGCCACACAAATTCCGTTCATTCTGCTATGCTATTTAGACAGAATTCATGCGGACGGATCTCAGACACAGTCGCCTACTAGTCACCGGCCACTGTGCGAAAAAACCATAATATATTATAGATTTTATTTTGCCTCTGGACTATTTACAAAAAAAAACGGCAATTTCAACAACTACTGTTCAATCTTACATATTTCTTGGGAAATAAACAGATTGTCGTTTTACTCGCATAGTATATCCAAATACGTATAAATACAATGTACATGAATTCTCTTAATTGTCACAATTCTTTAAAATCCATAGAAGTGAAATTGCTAGATCAGTCGTTTTCAACACGGAATTTCTGACTATCAGAAATTCCCAGATACAGTCACCCATACAAACTATTGATATGACTAGCTGCTACGCGCTGATCTGGTTTGTTCCACTGGAAAAGACCGTTCGGGAGTGTCAACAATTAATTGTTGGAAAGAACCGAATATAATTAATTCACAATATTTCCAAAAGATATGAAAAAGATACCCAGAAGCAAAATCAAAATAAGATAATTTTAGTTATGCCTGAAAATGGATCTACATAATAAAATACACGTCTTTAACCAGAGTTCCATCTCACAGTTGAACCAAGTTAAAAAACAGAAATGCATTATTATAAACATAGTATTAACCCATTTTTGGCTGCATATATCGAAAACTATTAGACTGATTGAGCTCCGTACTTTTCTGTGCTCACTTGTCAGATGTTATAATAATAGTTTCATAAGCAATGATGTAGGCTAGCTCCCCACCCTTATTATTAACTGCAAAATGGCGGGAATAGCAATATGATCGCCATATCTGTAGTAACTGTGTGTCCGCTTCAGAAAAGGCACTAGCGGAGGCCATTTATAGCTTCTACGGCCTCATTTGTAAGTTCTATACTATAGGTCATTGTTACATTCGTCCAGATACCATTCACAGCGAGTACGTGTAGCGTGGGCTACCTACTACCTTCTACACAAATAAGTTTGGCGATCAAATCGCAATCATATAGGTATACCTTATATATTTAAAATCAAAGGCAATACATATTTGTAAAATCTCAAACTCATAATACAAGTGAATAATAGCAATAATATGCAGAGCCAACATAACTTGGCGTTTAAATTCTTGGCTTAACATTTCAAATGGATATAAATATTGTTCTGCTCGTATTATTTTAAAGTTCCGAGAATTGAGAAGCATGCCAAGTTCTAATTAAAATTGACATTGCTGTACCAATTCCAACAATACTATGTTACTACGATTCATTTAATTCGTAAGTAATAAAAACAGCTACAAGTCAATTACCTTCACAATTATTTAGGTCATTCATTTTTGCAATTTTGAATTATCCATGCATTTTTGCTCTATCATGAAATCACAAATGAAATCTCTTTTTGTATCTTGTTGGCACAAAATTACAACTCATGATTTTATGAAGTAATAATGATGAACCCTGCAAAATATCGCTTGGACACTTGATAAAGACTAGTAAAGGCATATTGATAAAAATCGATTTTAGGAGTAACATATAGTTTTTAAAATATGAAGATAACAATATACCACGATCAAGATTTCCATTGTTTAATACTTTGAATGGAATATAAGTTGAGCACGGTACTGCGATTGCTGTAATAGTCTAAGATCCCAGGGCCACCAGACATTACTTATTTTCTGAGAAACAAACTGTAAGTCATTGAATAGCGCTTATATATACTTTCAATATCTGCTAAGTTGGGTAGAGGACTGATTTAGTGGCATCAGATGAGAAAGGTTAAATAAAAATAAGACTATCTTAAATTATGATAGCTGATTTCTATAAAATAATTTGTAAAGCATTACAATATACTTCCTGCTGGCCATAACTTCTGCCAGATGCTTAAAAGATATCCCGCAATAAAATGAACTGCTAGCTTTTCAGTATGTGCATTAAAAAATCAAAAATGTTTTATACAAAAGTTATAGTCTATGATCTATATAATTCTTCATGCAATGTCTTTTTAGTATCAGTGCGATCAAATAGGGTGTATGGTTTAATTATTCAACTGATAGGACTTTTCTGAGATATCATATATACAAAAAAACCAAGTATGTAAAACTTTGTTTTTTTTTATTTAGAAACTGGCTGGCTGTACCGAATACTACTTGTAATAATGTTTTACAAAGTATTTATAAAAATCAACCATCATGTTAAGTTAATCTTATTTTTACTTAATATTTCTCACCTGATACCAGTAAATTGGCCGTTTACCCAACTTAGCAGGTACGCTACTTCATGTCCCACTTTCTCTTTCAGAAAATGAATGCGTCAGGCCTGGGATTATACTCTATAATGCAAATTTGTTGGTAGGACTAGGAATAAACACTCCTAATAGGTTGTTCCACATCCTACGTACCTATCGGCCAGTTTTCGATAGAAATCAGCTGACTATATAGATCCATTTTCAGAAAGTACTTATATCCAAACAAATAAAAACATTCATACGTGTTTTGTATTAAAAATCTCTGCCTAGCATGCAGAGATTCAGATCAGAGCCACGGATGTCCTGCCGTGACAAAAGTAGACGTTTTTGAGCAGGTCAAATTCGGTCTGCACTTGCTGCAGGCGTGCGCCGGTGTCATCTAACGAAAGTCTGACTAGCACCGATTGCGAGCGACGTATAGACAACGGGGGACACCTAGATAGAGAAAAAAAATAATTTTCGTCGGGATAGTTGCAGAGATAGCAAGCCCATAGTCGTTTTAGATAACAATCAATCCTGGAAGTATCTTCGCATCCGCTCGGGAAATTATTCGTTTTTATTTTCCTCAAAAACTACTACTTACTAAGCCCAAAATGGCATTAAATATTATATAGAAAGGTTTTTAACAAAACCAAAGGTTAGGTTTCTTGGGTCATTCTAAACAAAAAAGGTTCTATTGGATTTTTTCCAAAGTTGACAGTTTTCGGGATATACTCGTAAGCGATTTATCTCGTTCACTGCCACGGTGGTCCTATATGACCAATACTCATGTTGCCTCAGCAGGCCACATTGGTCCAATAGGGCCAACATATATTTTGCCTTACCAGGCTATGTTGGTCCCACCTGCAGAAATGGACCAACATGGCCTAGAAGCTATAAGCCGCACATATTTCTTAGATTTTTCCATAATGAGGAATGTGGCTCCGATAGGAGCAACGTCTTTTTTATTTGGTGGCCCACTAGTGCTCAATGTAAAATATATGTTTGGCGTAGTGGGCACATGTTAAAAAATGTCTGGCAGCGAACGTGTTACTATCCGAAAAAATGGAAAATGCGCCAACCGGGAAAATAATATGAACAAACGAAGATTTCAACGTCGCCAAGGTTTCTAAAAATTCTTCCAAATTCAGAGCAGTTTAAGGGGTATTGTTACTGTAAACATTCGTTTTATAATTGTATCACAGAATTCATTTAGACAGAAGGCTTACACGGCAAATGCACATTTTCCCAAAAAGGAAACAAATGGGCACCAAACTCAGAGTGATGAATTGGATTATTGGTAAGAAAGTTAAACTCATTGGACAACAACGTATCAGTCTACAATGATTTGTTGAAATCAATTCAGACGTAAAGCATCCAGGTATAGTGCACAGCGACCTATAGCAATATTGCTACCCTTCATCAGTTCCAAGGTCCAGAGAATGATCGTCGACGTACCATACACCATGTTCCACATTTCCAATGAAGTTATTCGGCGTAACGTCCCTCTCCCTACCATCTAGGAAGCAACCCACAGGTTCAGTGTTAGTTACAAGCGAAACAGTTGAAATACTCCATACTGTGAAAGCAAACCAATTATATGTGTCTAATAATGAGCTAGTGAATTGGCTAAAATGACATTTGCCATTTGACTTGGCGATAGGACCACGATAATCTTAAGTGATAACATAGACAATTAATTTAGTTTTAGATAGAGATCACCCACTGGAATGAGACTCTGCTTATCTCAAAAACGATCAACTTCAGAGAAAAGATCATAAGATTTTTTACTCAGAAACTTTGTCCAGAGGGATTTGTTCAAAAAAAAAAATGTTTGAGCAATTCTTGTTGCAGTTTTGTTCTGGCAACATGCAGTTTCATTGAAAAACAGCGCTATCTGAATAAGATACGCATATAACCGAATCTGAATATATTTTCGAGCAGATGTGAACATATTTAGGATCAACTAGTGCCAGTCATAAGTTTAACCCGTGTTTGCTTTTCGACGTATTCATTACGGATTGCCTAATATATGCAGTCTGGGACAAAATGAAATTCTGCCAAAAACTTTTCTTTGAATGCATCTAAAATTTGATTAGACCTTGAACATACATAAGGAAAGATATCTTTTAACGTAGCAGCTAGATTGTAGGTTAATATTTGCAATTAGCAACACTTGCTCCAGATTTTTGTAAACAGATGAATCAAGAAACATCAATAGTATCTAAAATGACCATCGGTTTGCCATCTTTGCCATAAATGGGTTTTTTCTTGTCTGATCTAACCTGCATTGGAGTGGGGCAGCCATCAACCAGACAGAGGGCGCTTGGGGGCATTCCCGTGACACCACCACCATCGAAAGATTAGTAAGTGATGTGTTGTGCGATGCTCTAAGGGTTCTTCAAAGTTTCACCACCCTATATCGTATTCCATCAAGGTTAAGTTGATCACCTGCAAATAAAGTAAACTAGTCCGGTGGGGATATTTTCAAAAATATCTGAATATCTAGCTGGATTCAATTTTGTTTTGTGATAAAATCTGGAGTCATAGATTCTGAATCTGATCTCAATTTGAAGCTATTTCTACGTCAAAATTGATACCATAATATTACAAAATTTATTCATCGTCATATCCGAATGCAGTACCCCAAATTACCCATGTATACTGAGTTTCATTCACTTGTAACAACAGAAAGTAAAGATGAAAATTTCGCCCTTCAAAATTCTGAAATATCTTAAGAATACCTAAGGCCCGTATCGTCAGTCGTCCCTACAATCGTAGGGCGCCTTTATGATCTCCTTGATTGTCATAGTTTTCTACTTCTCCGTGCCAGAACTCTATTTTGAGGTTATGTCACAAACATCTATTTGCATTAAATTGTGCTTTCTTTTAAGTTATATCATGTTTTATCAGCCTGAAATTTCCTACAATTTAAAAAGAAAACATATCTTCACAATAGGAGAGCGCTGACGCTGAGACGGGACAAGTGTAATCTAGAAATTTTTGAAGGAGAGACAATCAAGGAGGCCATAAAAACGCGCCCTACAATTGTAGGGACGACTGACGAAACGGGCCTAAAAGGGAATAAAATAAAAATATCTGCACAAGTGTGCATCTTTGACCTAGATATACCTCCTGAGATCATTTTTTTATACTGAATTTATTTAAAAACTAACATCCAAATAGTAATTTTTGATTGCAATATATTGAGTAAATTAAAAATAATATAAGAATAATAATAGGAGTTATGGAATTCGTATTTCAAGAAAGTATCAGCAAATTTATTTACATTTAGTATGTTGTTATCATACACTTTGCATCAATTACAGGCTGAAGCTTCCATGGCATGGAGGATGTAAGATTATGAGTTATTCCTAGTCCAATTTAGTTTTTACCTCAAAGTCCCACAAATATTCTAGGGTATTGATATATTTGGGCTGCCATTTTGAATTGGGCATGTGCATTATAAAGTAATCATTCCTTTGGCATAGTGGTGGTGTGTTGAGGATCATTATCCTACTGGAAGATAAATGTATCTCTGATCCCCACTTTTCCAGCACATCTGTGAAAGTTATTGTGCAAATCTGCAAATGTCGATATACTTGCCTGCATTCCTTTCAAAACGTCTTCAATGAATCTTACTTTTCTAACACTGTACCACAACATACCCCAGACTAAAAGACTCCAGCTATCATGTTACTTTCAACTTCTAGATTTCAGATCTGTTGATCATAAATATGTATGGAGTTAACAGTTAATTTGAAATGGAATTATTAGCCCAAAAGTGAAACATGATGGCAAGAGAGGTCTATTCAGGGCTGCATGTTGTGGTTGGAAATGTAATCCTCAGCCAAAACATCTTTCATAGTAAATTCAGCAGCAGTGTTGAAATAAGTGGGGATCAGAGAAATATTTATTTTTCAGTAGGATGATGATCCTAAGCACATCTAAACTAAAACAATAGAGGCTGCCCTCAGGGCGGAGTTCTGTCACCCCTACTGTGGTGTATCGTGGTGAACGAACTCCTCGTTAGGCTCAGCAGTATGGGTGTCTACGAACAAGCCTATGCTGATGACGTAAGCATAGTAGTTAGGGGGCGTTTTTGTAGAACAGTCTCGGAAATTCAGCAGGGCGCTCTGCGCTCCGTGGAATCGTCGATCTTTCTGTTAATGCTGAAAAGACCGAGCTGATCCTATTCACTAGGAGAAGAAGGCTTGACGAGCTGTTCATGCCGACCTTCTTTGGGACTAGATTAATTTTGTCCCAGTCAGTGAAATATCTGGAAATTATCCTGGATTGCAAACTGAACTGGAGAGAGCATGTTGAATACAAGGTTAGCAAGGCTCGCAATTCGATGTGGGCTTGTAGACGTGTTGTCTGTGTAAGGTGGGGGCTTAAGCCCAAAGTGGTATACTGGCTCTACACGACGATAGTACGTCCATCTCTCTTGTACGGCTCCCTGGTCTGGTGGCCTTGCATTAGAACTGAGACAACTAAGGCCAAACTCAATAAAATTCAGCGTTTGGCCTGTATTAGTATTACAAGCGCAGTGCGAACAACGCCATTGAGTGCAATGGAAGCTCTGTTGGATCTCCCACCGTTGGATCTGGTGATCCGCGGTGAAGCCAGAGTAGTCGCTCATCGACTGTGGAGTCAGGGCAGCTGGGCTTTCTTGAATCCTGTCAAGGGGCATACTGCCATCTTAGTCGAATTGCAAAGGGAGGACCCCGTCCTTCTAAGCAGGGGTGATCGTATTACCCCTAAATATCGCTTCAACCGCAAGTTTATTCTGGAGTATCCAACGAGGGAGGAGTGGGACGCGGAGTGAGCGGGCAGGTCTGGTACACGGACGGCTCGGTCACCGAAGAGGGCTCAGGTGCTGAGGTCTCTGGGCCTAGAACTAGGCTATCTTTGCGATTCTGGCTTGTGTATCTCACATTCTGGACGAGGGTCGGCCTAGGAGAAGAATAACAATCTTATCCGACAGCCAGGCTGCAATGAAAGCACTAAGTGCCTGTAAGATTACTTCGAGTCTTGTATTGCAAAATGCAGGGAGGCTCTGGATTGCCTCGCAGCGAGGCATCCGGTATCGTTAATATGGGTACCTGGGCACGCTGGGATAAGGGGCAATGAGACGGCGGACACTCTGACGAAGACAGGATCAGCCAGCAAGCTCGTTGGTCCTGAGCCAGCTCTAGGAGTGACCGCGCATAAAGCTAGGAGGAAAATGGAGACGTGGGTTGCAAGACAACACTCTCAGAAATGGAGAAGTATCTCCAGACATCTCCGCCAGGCACGGGAACTCATTGAAGGGCCCAGTGCTAAGGATGGACGCTTCTGCCTATCTCTGGATAGAGCCAACCTAAGGTTGCTGGTGGGACTGTTGTCTGGCCATAACACGTTAAGGCGTCACCTGCACGTGATGGGGGTGGCTGAGGATCCCTTGTGTGAACGCTGCGGGGTAGAGGAAGAGACCTCGGCGCACGTTTTGTGTCGCTGTGAAGCTCTGAGCTACTATAGGCAGACTATACTGGGGTTCATTACTTTGGACCCTCAGGACGTCAAGGAGCTTGGACTCAAGGCGATTATCAACTTCGCTAAAAGGGCGAGGCTTGTGATCTAAGGATTGTAGAGGTGCATAAGGGCCCGCTTAAGCGGCCTATGCACTGGCTCCTTATGGTGGCCGGAATGCCTCTAATTTCAAGATTCATTCAAAACAATAGAACTGTTTCTTAAGGATGGCCCTGCACAACTCAGAACTCCAGCCCAAACCCCAAATATCAATTCCATAGAACATTTTTGCGGTACTTGCTCAAATGGAAGTTTGGAAAAATAAAATTTCTCAAAATCACAGCTACACGGTGTTTTTATACAGAAATGGGACTAAGATGAACCATAAATAGCTCAGAATTTTGTATCCTCTATGACATGAAGTCTTCAGGCCATAATTAATGCAAATTGTAAGATAACAAAGTACTAAACGTAAATAAATTTGCTACTATTTCTAATTTGTCCATCCTACTACCATCATAAATTACTATTTGGATGTTAGTTTTTAAATAATTTTAGTGGGTAAGTTTAGTTTTCAAAAAGAGTTGTCAATACTGCTTTGACTAACTGTATATCCAGGGGATAACCAAAAAAAATGGTGTCCCATTTTCTTACAAAAAAAACCGAACTTGAAACAGGCAGTAAACAATGAAAAAAAACGGAGGCAAAAACTAACGACTCGATCCGATAAAACCGAGTCATTCAGGATACGATTTCTACCTTAAACTGGTTTGCACTGCGGACCCATAAATATATCTGCAGCCGCATTTTCAATATAAAAAAATGTGCTATAAATAGAATTCAATATAAACAAGAGTAACTGTGGACAATTTTTACTCTTTGAATAGCTATCCCATTGACTTCTCTATACATATTTGTTATAAAAAGGTACTATTTATATTTAAAAGAATCCCTTAAGCCCACTTCATTTTACATGTCTAAGAGTCTTATTTCAATCTTGTTCTAAACATTTACTATTACTATTAAAATAGATGTTCATCTAATTTAGAGTTGGAATATAAGCAATTTCCTAATATCAAAACAAAGCTTAACTTGTCATTCAATTAAAACACATTAAACCTTTGGCCTAACTAATTTTATCTTAATAAGCTGAGTCAGGAGCTAAATGGTTGATTAGAATACCAGGCTAATTTATAGCTCAAAATCGTAATTTCCTGAGAAAATTCTACTTCCCTACAATCTAGAGAAAAAATATAAAGGAAACTACCCTAAACCAGACTCCTTGTCTCAGGGGCTCTCCATTATCTGAAATTCCATTATTGCAAAGTGGTAGTAGCTTAGATATTTACCATGCCATAGTGGAGGGCACATACAACTCGTATGCAGTCTACCAATACATAAATACATTGTATTTTGATAGTGGGAAAAAGTTTTTGAAGTACTGTCTCAGGAAGGATATATGTATATTCTATGTATCCAAGAAAAATCTATTTCATGACCCAGGCGAAATGGCCTGATGGAATTTGTCATGACATGTCGAAAAAAAATGGAATGGCGGATTTTGATACAAAAATTCAACCTTGAAATTCCTATTTCAGGGCTACAAACAGCTTGATGGAGTTTGACATAGAGGTTCAGATTGGTGTGATGATGACAATGAACATCTGTATTTTTAAAATGAACTTTTTATTATTGTTCTTTGGCATTTACAAGCAAGCCTTTATGCCAATATATTAAATGATAAGATCCCAGGTTTGATCCTCTCATGAAATTGGTTCATTCAGATGTTTGAGTGATATAAACAACTTTTTGGTGCTAGTTGCATATCGGACTCATTTTCCCTAATTCAAGTCAATAACACAATGAGCAAAGCTTAAGCCCTTCTTTTTCAACGTACTTCATGACTGAGACTAGTACTTTAGGAATGTGAACCCCCATTATTAACCTTAAAGAGAGTATTTAGATTTTTCACGAGTAACAGCGCGTTTGTTTATTCAACTGGCCCAATACAAAAGCCAAAAACCAAGGTGGAATCTATGGGATAGCAGCCAACAGTCGTCTAATTCTAGAATTTGGTATGTAATCAATAAACCTAATAAAAGTAAGTACTTACCTGAAAATAACGATACAACTTACCTACAACAGTGCAACAGTACCAAAAGCTGTTATCTGAATGAATAAGTCTGAAAAACTGCTTGTAACTAACCACAGTTTATAAAAAAAGAACTACAAAAACAATGGTATAAATTCTTGACTAGATTACGTAGGTGTTGTTCTCTTTTAAATAACACGTACAATATACAGACACACTTCACAATGAGACACCACAGCTGCCGTAATGTTGACAAACCAAGTAGAAGTAGACGTCAATTTAAAATCGGACGATCGTTGGGCAAAATTTACTCGAGTACCGTTTTACTAGTTATAAGCGCCCCTCACAGACTCGCATAACCGGCGCGAACTGGTTTTCGCCGAGAGCTGCAGCGATTCAGCGAGAAGCGACGGAGTTCGATTTTGTGTGCGTGGTAGTGGTCGGCTTGTTGCCGCGTCGCCCAACGCACATGTGCTGCGTTGCCGGCGTGCGCATTTCAGCGGATAGATACTTTTTCGAAATGTAGTTTAGACCAGTACACAGCGCTTTTAGCAAATATACTTTTTGAGATGTGATTAAATTTAGAAATACCTAAAACTGAACGTAAACGTTCTAGAGGCATATCGTGGTTGCTGCCGTACCTCCCTAGATAAATAATGAAAACGAAAAAAAACACCTACTTCAATAATAATTTGGAATTATTGTATCCTGATAAGTTCATTGACAACTCAGCCTTATATTTAACATAACATTATAGCATTTTAGAACGACTGAGCAATAAGTTATATATCGAGTATAGCTACTCATGTAAGTATATCTAGGTACCTACTTGTCATGAATTACGTGCATGAATATGTACTAAAGTCTTGAACTATATGCAATGAATAAGTTCAAGAATACCGCAATCGATACGATTGAAAACGGCTTTAAATGTTAAACAAAAAGAATACACTTGTGCCCTACTTCCTTTGCTTTTGTAAAATTATTTATAAACGTGATTCTTGATTTAAATATTAATATTTTATGATATATATATATATATATATATATATATAGTGTTAGTAGTAGAAAAAATTTATAATACATACCTTCTTTGAGAAGGATCATTAATAGGTGAGCACTATTATCACCTGTGGCGCGTAGCGCAGAGTGATATAGTATGCGAGATCAAACATCGTATGTAGGTACATTTTTTAGAGATATGTACAGAAAATAGCTCTTTTAGTATTTCGTCGCACAGGGAATTTTTTCACAGCAGCGTTTATACCGGTTTTTACAGCAACAGTCCATATTATGATGTTTGAAGAAAAACCTCCTGTGTTAGCACTGGACGGTTTTATGCGCATGCGATATTTTGCAGAAAAGAATACAGGCTTTTCAGAAAGTAGGAGGTGGGATTTTTTGAACGGATCAAGCCAAGGAAGCTGAAACTTGAAATGATTAATTATTTGAGGCATGAATACCTACTACATTTTAACATAAAAATAACAAACGCAAATTTCAAGATTTCTTCAAATGGAATGGATTAAGGGTGTCGTGTGATACCTTCTTTCGAAGGGTCCTTATAAGTCTTTCATAACCCTAGGATATAAAATCACTATCTTGAGTGACTTGTCTTTTCTCTCCTTCAGAAAGGCTGGGATATTTCTAAATTTCTGCTGCTGCAGTGTCAGCGTCAGCGCTCTCCTATTGTGAAGCTATGTTTTCTTTTTGAATTGCAGGAAATTTCGGGCTAATAAAACAGATGATGCAAATCAAAATCTTTTTTATACCATATTTCACGAGTATCCATCACGGTAGAATGACAGCCGATTCTCTAGTAATATCTCAAAATTTCCCATATCGGCACAGGACACATAATTCTGACGACTCCGTCAAAGCCAGGTATACAGAGCCGTATTTTGTCTTGTTTTTTATATGCTACATATTCATGTTTTGCTTGCTAACAGGTCTTTCATTCAGAAAAGTTCATTTCCATCCAACAAACAAAACGCCACAAACAAGTTTTACTAGATTTACACCCGATTCATTATTGGCAATGTTGCAGACTAACACAAAAATGTCACTTGTTGATCTCCTTACCTCAGTAGACGTCTAAGCGTGCTGGATACTTTTGAAATAGGGTACATATCATCTGTTATATAACCTGAAATTTCCTACAATTCAAAAATAAAACGTAGCCCCACAATAGGAGAGCGCTGACGTTGACACGAAACTAGAAATCTACTCGTAGAAATAACCATCCCGTCTGCAGGAGAGACGAGACGATGAAAATCAAGAGGGCCATAAAGGCGTCCTACAATAATTTATTGTAGGACGGCTTTATGATCTCCTTGATTCTCATAGTTTTCTACTCTTCCGTATCAGCGCTCTTCTTTGAGGTTATGTTACAAATATCTAGTTACATCAAATTGTTCATGCTTTTCATTTATATTTATATCATCCTTCATATAAGCCTGAAATTTCCTACAGTTCAAAAAGAAAACATAGCTTCACAAAAGGAGAGCGCTGATGCTGACACGGAACAGTAGAAATCTAGAAATATCCCAGCATTTCTGAAGGTCAGAAAAGACTATGAAAATCAAGGAGACTATGAAAATCAAGGAGACTATGAAAATCAAGGAGACTATGAAAATCAAGGAGACCATGAGGGCGCCTTCAATAATTGTAGGAACGACTGACGATATGGCCCTTGTAGTAGCTTATCAAAGCTTTATAATAAGTTATATCAATCTTCTTCTTTTGGAAGAGCCTATCTGATATAAAAAAATAAATTTTGATACTCGTAATCATCTAATGGAATATTTCCATATTCCATACTTTATTGCATATTTGGATAGACCCTCCAAGAAAATAATATTGACATTGTAACAATCTAACATGCCATAGCGTTTTGACGGTTGGATGTTGAGTGATAAGCGGTTCGATGTACAAAACCGCTCTACTTTGACAACCTGCCAAATCGCCATGTAATATTTTAGGGTTATAAAGTACTCATAAGGCGCTTTAAAATGACCACGCAAACCCTCATTCTATTTAAAAAAAAATATTACAGAATGGCACTCAGACACCGTCTTGTAATTTTCATCAATTTCATTACCCCGAATTTCAGCTTTCTAACTTGACGCGCCCAAAAAATAAGTAGACATTCTGCAAAATAAGGAGAAAGTCTGATGAATAACAACATTAAGATTGACAGCTTATTAGCATCTAAATTATAATGGAAGCTTAATGCTATCAACAAGCCAATATAAGTGAAATTATAACGAAATCATTAATACCATTTCTGTAAATGTTCATGTCATTTTGGTGTCTTCTGGAATATGATAAATGATCTTTCGACAAAAAAAAATGTTTCACAATTTTCTGAAATGAACTATTTTATTAGTTATGTCTATTTATATGGAATAAATAAATGCGGAAAATGTGTGCCTTTTAGGAACACGACGAAAAAATGTCTAATAATGCACCGGCTAGCGTTATTAACAATTAAACAGCAAAGGTATAAAATAAACTAACCTTGTAGGGGAATGTTTGGACTTTAGATACCAGGTAGCCTCAAAAATAATGATGTTTAACCGAATTTTCAAGCATTGCATCGCTCTGTATTTCAATCGGCCAATCTTAGGGAAACGCTACCAAGGACTTTTTTGTTCAGAAAGACCTGAAGCCCAAAAATCTGTTTGCGAGTAAAAAACAATTTTGTGTACTTCAAAGCAATTGTTTAAATAAATTCGCGCCTGGCTACTCCAAGATAACCCTTTGTTTCATTTTAACCGGTATCTAACGAACGCGAATATGAAATCTAGTCGGCAGATTTACCCACAAATATGACACTTTCGCATGGACTAAAAACTTAAAAACTAATAAATTTCAGGTACTGCTGATGAAATGTAAAATCAATATCAATGAGCAAGTCATAACCGGTTTTTTTCAGACTTCCAAGCTATAAAAAGTCTAAACCAACTCAGCCATTAAGCCTGGGCTGATCTGTTATGAAATGCACCGCTTATCTCCGACAACAATGAATTTAAAAATAGGAACATCCTTAGGTATCTATTTATAGAAACACGAAACTACTGTATCATCCATTACCCCATTAGTCAATTGCGGTACAGAAAAAGTGCTACAAATTGGACCTAATTGGATAAACACAATTTTAAATTTTGTACGCACTGATTCATTAAGCGGCAATAAAAAAATGTAACAGAAAGATAGTGTCAAGTAGATTAACTCACGCGATGCAACCAATCAGTATATCTATCGAGTGAAGATATTTTCAGAATTATCAAAATGGCGTCAAGTAGGATGACTTTGCACTTCCTACGCAACGCTGTCATCAGTTGATAAATAATTATATTCGGCACAAGTTAGCACTTCTGAGAAAAAAGTTAGCTATGAATATGTATAACAAAAAATTAAATGGTCAAACAGCCTCGTGCTAAAAATACATAAAATATGCTACCTCTCGCTTTTCAAAAAGTTTTTCAGGCAGGAACACTGTCAAATAACGTTATCTCTTGGCGGTGGATAGATATCCCCTGAGGAAAATTCCTGTGGACAAAACTCTACATCTCGCGTGGATGATAATCGACGGTCCACAACCACAGCAGTGTAGCAGCGTATTTTCGATACGCAACAGATGGAAATATTTCTCCATCATTTTATGTTTTAAGGATAACTGTACGGGGAAATCTATGATGAGTGAAACATGTCTCAGGTGCGTAGAATTACCGCATCTTGAGGCGTGTAAGTATACCAACATAAAAAATTGAGATATACCCTCCCCCATCCAATGTTTCTAGGAATGATCAAATGAAGTTTGAGTGATGTTTAGTTTTTTCCTTTTTTGCTCGTAGCTCCTCCGACATTGGATCTATTTTCAAAAACCATAAAGCTTTTTCGTCATTGGTATAGTAATAACCTGGTGTGAAAATTTCATCAAAATTCGACTAGTACTTTCCAAGTTATAGCGGGGTCAAGCATTAGCGGACAGACAGACAAACAGACTGGCTGAAAGAAATGAGTGACATGACGTCTAGGGCAGGGGTCGGCAACATGCGGCTCTTTTGATGTCAAGTTGCGGCTCTCCAGTTCATAGTAAATCCTCTCAACACAAATATAAATGATATCAAGATTGAGTCATTTGGTATTAATGCTGGTTCGTTCCAGATGCAATTGCTGGTTTTTGTAAATTGTAAGTTTCGGCTCTTCCGTGTCAAAAGGTTGCCGACCTCTGGTCTAGGGGTACGCACGTCTCACGATTGAGGTCTAGCAAGGTAGTTTTTACATTGATACAGCAATATACAAGGTTTTTTTTTTTAATGGAAAACTTGGGCATGTAGGAGAGGGGCGCG